TCCAAAAATCTGATGTTTATAAAGATACGCCTGCAAAATTGTTGAAAGACAGCCATAATGTTTTACTATGAGGCCTGTAGGAAACATAGTGAACATGTGAAAAAAAAGGGATCTGATCAGATTCAACCACATAGAATGTTTTGTCTTACATGAAAAATACTAAATTGTGTCACCTTAAAACAATCCATTCCCACAGTGAAATATAGTGGTGGCAGCATCATGCTGTGGGGATTTTTTCCTCAACAAAGACAGGGAAGAGCTGAGGGGAGTATGAATGCATGTAAATAAAAAGGTTGGAGGAAAAACTGTTAAAAGAAACTTTTGACTTCCAGAAACTCTACTTCCTACAAAACACACAGCTAAAACTGGATCTATTGTTTTTTGAAAACAGATGTCCATAAATAAATAAGTAAATAGAGCATTGAGAATGTAAATAAATCTATTCGAGAATGTACAAACATTATTATTGAAGATTTTAAATAAAGCCTGTTCCATGATGCTCTTCATCCAATCTGACTGACAGTGAAAGCAGGCGAAAAAGTATATTTATAAAACTGATGGATAATACAGTCCCTCCCAAAGTTGCATCTCTAATAGCCCAAAAGGAAAAAAAAAACTGTATGAATAGGCCTACTAACTGAATACTCAGAGAACTGCTGAATGTTGTGTAAAATGGGATATTTTATTTATTAAAAAGAAAAAAATGTTAGAACTGTAAATATACAGTCATATGTTTATATTACAATCTTTTTATGTATTTATTACTGCTTTCAAGGCTGCAATTTAAAAAATGAAATTGTCTAGAGCTGTTTTAAAATAAATTTCATTTTGTTTACACTCGTCTGTACAAAATGACCAAATAAATCTGTCTAATTCTAACAATTGGAAGCCATGAATTATTTTTCTTTATTGCACTTACTCTATGTTACACAAATGAAATTAAAAACAAAACACAATGAGATCCATGGCTGTTGTCTGAGAAAAACTGTAGTGTGGGGATGAACTTTTAACTGCCACGTAAAATTTTTGGTTATATTTACTTGAGACGTTAAAAATAAAAAGTTACATTGTTTAATTGAATACACCAAACCAACTTTATGGAGAAAAATACGTCATACTGGCATCTTTGGGATGTGACAAGTAGGCCTACTTATTTCTTTAACTACCAGCCACTCAATTCAGGATCTTTAAATGGATGTAAAAAAAAAAAAAAAAAATCAAACTTCCTAAAACAAAAAAATCATATTTGCATCTAAGTTTCTCTGACTCATCTGTGTCTAAGTGGGACCAAAACGCAGCTAAATGAAAGCAGACATTTGAAGCATATTTGAGTAAAAAGACTGACTTATTTCTGACTTTAACGCTTATCTGTAAAAGAGGAAAAGAAAAACTTCTCACTTAAGTGCAGCTCGCTGTGCGGCTGCGTAAAATTACCCTTAAAAACAGCCCATCTCCCCCCCTTCGCTTGCTCCTCTATCCTCTCCGTCTGTGCGCTGCGCGCTCCTGCAGCCGCGTTCACGTTTGGCAGCTCCACGTCGACATTCTTCCAGCTGCATATAGTGAACCGCTCAGCTCAGCGCTGAGGGAAGAAAAGGTAAAAGCGGCCGCAGTCACCTTAGGATCAGAGCGCTGCAAGTCCCTGCTCGGACATGAAGAAAGCTTTGCATGCAGACAACCTGAACCAACCGCCTATAATGTCGTTTTCCTTTTTCTAAGCTCTTTTTTCCCCTTATGAGCTGATCTAGACCACCTCGTGTTGGACTGCAGCTGGTTCCTGGCGTCTACCTTTTTCAGGTACAGTATTGCAGAAATCAATTACTGCATTATACACTTTGAAAACCATTGCCACTGTTTCTGGTGGAAACATTCAGTTGTTTGTTTTGTGATATCATTTTTGCATAACTAAAGTTCCTGCCAGCTGATAAGTCTCCCAACTATCCTCAAACTGATACAACTTGATACTCTTGACCTTCTTATGCCTATTTTCCTTCTCTCTGTCTGCATTGTTTGTGGAATATCTCCCTTTCAGGGGACTTTTTAGTCTAAATAGTTGAGAGATTCAACAGGTTTAGCCGAGGAGGATGATAATAATGATGATAAAGACATAAGCAGAGTAAAATTTCAACTATCACAGATGTTAGGTTTGCACCCTCCCAGATGTCCAAGCTTGAGGTGATTATGAATGATTAAGGATCATGATAATTGCACTATTTCTGTAAAAAGATTAAAACTGTCCAGTCTAATGCATGTATGCTCCAAAGGCCCTGCTTCACCAATGGCTTAGCTCTATTTTGTTCCATATTCATTCACAAATTACACATTTTACCAGTATAATCAATATGATTTTCCTACATTCCTCTTGCTTTTTTTCTTGTTCTTCTTTTTTTTTACTTGCAGGTTGAAGGAGCACCTAGTTGCAAGAAGTATAATGTTCCAGACAAGGACAAACCTGTGAGGTGGCACTGCTGTGGCTTTCCAAATAAAGTTCTGTGATACACTCAGACTCTAACTGCCTGCAGTCAGTGCATTACAGAACTTTGTTTTGGGAGTGAATGCATCTGCAAACATTTGGTTTATAGTTTACACAAGGCTGCTGTTTTTTTGTTTGTATTTATTTTTTATATTTTTTAACAAGTTGACTTGTTAAATAAAGTTTTTTCCCCCCTGATGTTTCATGTCTTTTTCTTTTCCTGACTTTCTTCTTTTTATGGAGAGTTGGGGTGGTGCTGTGGTTTGATGTGTGTTTCATCACTTAAGCTCTATAAGCTTATGTTAAAGTATTACTTAGAGGGGAAGAAAGGGTGCCATATGGAAACACTAGTCATGCTGCTCAGGTGACTGAAGGGAGGTGAGGCAGAAAGGTAAACAGGGCTGCCACATGTCTCACAATCTAATGATTCAGCACTAATAAAAACAAATTCAGATTTATTGGTTTATTTGAGACTCTGTTTTCATAATTTAGCATTACATGTCTCATTTTCCATTCAGTTTTTTAAACAAATGTTTCCACAAATGCACCTTAACTTATCAAACTGAGACATCTGTAGTAAAATATCCTAACAACTGCTCACAGGTTGTGATAACAATACCAGTTTCCACAGTCAGTGGAGCATTTGCAAGAGGTAATAAGCAGCAAGGCATGCTGGGAAATGATGCCTTCAATGGACTGGCTCGTTTGCTGTTTAAACAAGGTGTTAGTTTTACATCAATGTGCAAAATGTTGCTTGGCAGAGGAAAAAAAAAAAAAAACCTGCAATTTGAATTCTGATTTTTGGGAGCTGCACTGATTACAGGTACAAACGAATTTCTGACGGTTAAATTAAAAGGGCTTTTCAAAATATCTGCAAAAGGGCTGCATTCTGGCTTTAATTCTTTCTGTAGTACTTTTTTATTTATTTTTTTTAAAGAATGCTTAAGCTTTGAGATAATGCTTAGAGCTTTATGGTTTGCCGTTTTTGTTTTGTTTTTTGTGAAAGGATGATTGTTTTCCAACTTGATAAGGCAATTAAGTCCCACTAATTTTTGTCCTTATATGTAAGATTTCCAGTGTTTTCTCTAAACGTATTGACTAAAATAGTATAACTGGACTTTTCATATATCCATTTGTAGTCCTCCCTTTAATGTTCTAAATATTTTCAACCTAAATTAAATAAAAACTAAAGAGAAAATCCAGATGTCTGTTTTTCTCACACAGAGATAATAAATTTTATACAAACAAACTGCACGCTAACATTCTAGCAATTTTGCAAATATAAATTACTTTGAGTTCTAATTGAAATTCTGAATTTCTCATAATCTTTAAAGACACAAAGAACAAGTAAATTAAATGTATAAACAGATAAAATAAAAGTTATAGTGTTGGTTTAGCGGACTAGTGGTGCTGCTCCTTACCATTTCTGGTGAGAAGGTTCCAAAGTTGAAGAACTGTTCCTGGGTAGACCTAAAGTTCTTGCTGTTTTCTCTTTAACAAGTTATCCCATTTTTGTATCTTTGTTATATTTCACAAAACGAAAAGGACTAGATGTTGAACAGCCTGTATCTTCAGACATTTTTTTTTTTTTTACGTTTAACCACATTAATAACAATCATTTGTCTAGTTATATGTTATCCCAATGTTCTTTGTTAATAAACTGATATTGAATTTTTAAAGTGAAACTCAGAATGGGCTAGTCTGGTTAGACCAACAAAGGTTGGAATCTACCTGACTTGTTCACTGTTCATACAAGATGTAAAACAGCTTTAGCGCATACTGTATTCCCATTTGTGTTAGCCATAAGATAACACGTCACTTTGTCTAGTAAAAGTGTTTTTATAATTTTAATTACCTGTAAGTCATAAAGATCTGTTGGATTTTTCTTATTATTCTTTTTCACTGTGGAATAAATACAGCAAAAGATAATGAAGCAGAACCAGCAAAAAAAACATACATATTCTAATAATAAATGGCATTTGTCCATGATGCTTCAATTTCTTGTATAAAAGAGACTGCTAAATGTTATATAAAATGGGTTATACAAAAATAAATAGAAAAATGAATGTTTTAACTGTAACTATGCAATTGTATGTTTACATGTTTTTTTGCACTTTAAAAAAAATGAAAACGAGATAGCTGTACTAATCGAAACTTCTTTTTGTATATACTTATGTGTACAAAATGACAAAATAAAATCTAAGTCTAAAAATGAGTGGGAGATATTTGAACAGTTTGTTTACATTTTTCTGATCAAGTAAAATTTGAAACAAATGAAGGATAACAAAAAAATCTGTTAAAGAGATTGCAAGAGAAATAACAAACGTTATAAAGTATTCAAATATATTATTTTGTTTCATAAACATAAGTCGTGTATGGATTACAAGGTTTTATGGGAAAAAAAGACACCTGTAGCTCTGCAATAGCAGCGCAAACCTTTGTGAAAGCGAAGTATCCTACGTGCCCTGAAGGCAGCACTCTTTCTGTGGGCTGACCTCTGACAGGCTAGCTCAGATCAGTCCCCCCCTCCTCTTCCACAACACGGAAGCAGCATGGCGTCCAACAGCAGCTCCAGCAGGCACCAGACAGCACGGCACAGACTGAGCATCATCGCTGGACACCTGCAGAGACCTGCGGACAGTGATGCTGCCCTTCTAGCCGTTGACTGCAAAGCCCAGGCGAACAAACCAAACGTCAGCGCCGGTGACAGGAGCGAGGGGAGGACAGTGCCTAGGAAGAGGTACAAGGCTGTGATGGATCGGTCCATTATGATTACCTTTTGCTTACTAACTGGCTTATAACATGGTAAACTAGAGCTCCATGTGTGGCACGTAACCACAAACTGACAATACCTTAATTTAAAGGTTTTATACAAATCGGTAAAGCGGATATGGGTTAGCTTGTTAGCTAACGCTCCTTGCCTACAGTTAGCCATTCATTTAACAGTGGGTGGGTGCGGCTAGGAGTTTGGTTTGGTCAACTTTCTCAAAGTCAATTCTCCATTAGCATTTTATACAGTTTAAGTGTCGCTCAGTGTCCGCTAAAAGCCTGGGAAAACGTTTACATAATTGCTTTCCGCTGTCTTCGGCTCTCCCGAGAGCAAACGTTATAAAACAAAGAGGCGGCGCGTGAGCTAAATCTTACCAAATGATTGCTCCTCTAACAGCAACCTTAGAATGTTACCGCCAACTTTGCTTTATTCTGTTTGTAAGTAATTCAATGTTCGCTGTGTGATTAGTGTATTGGCATAAACTGGTTCCATTATGTTCAGTGAGAAGTGGTTATCAGAATAATAGAGAGAAACTGAAAAAAGTATATTAGACTGATGTCAAAAAGTTTTGTCCTTTCCAGTGATCTGATTGGTCAGGACTAATGGTGGCCTGACTTTCAACCTATTATCAGCTTCTGCTAAGAAAATGCAACCATGGTGTGCTGACATCTAGTGGTGCGTTTGCATAATAGCAGCTAAACTGCACAATCTGACACTTTGGCCTTGGTAGGCCAAATCTATCATGCTATGACTAATGTCAGAATAATTTTTCTTTTGTAATATTTTGTCTTCATCATTATCTGTTTTCTTACTGCAATGTCTTCACTATAAAGTAGCTTGATTAAACAGGCAGCAAATGCCTTTTTTTTTTTTTTATCACTGAGTTACACTTCTTAAAAACAAGATTTTACAAAGCCTTGACATTAGATAAACCTTTAAGCAGCATTTTATTTTTTGCAGTAGATGTATGGCTGTGTTCTCTTGAAGTATACTTAAAATAATTATGAAAGTCAGATTAGTTTTAGGCATACATTTTAATAGTTCATTTTTAAATGGGGAAATGAGGATGCAAAAAAAAAAGCTACATTGTGTTTCAAAAACTATAATTGGCTTTACAAACCCATTTCACTAAAGTTGTAAAATGTAAATACAGGCTGGTACTGTTGGGAAACTGGTTAGAAGCCACATGCTTTTTCAAGGGTTTGGCATTATTTAACAAGATCTTTACTCTCTCTTCTTGGCAGATTTGATATAGTGCATTGGTTTGTTTCCTGGCTCTGACTTAATTCAAGTATATTCCATACGCTTAAGAGTTTTAGATCAATCCAAAAACTTTTATCTTAGCTTTCTTTGCATCCAACACTTTTTTTTTTTTTTTTTTGCTGGGGGTTTTCAATCGTTTTATTTTTCAGTGGCCACTTTTTTATCAAATTTTCAGCCATCTTATCCAAAATATTACCGGAGATTTAAAAACTTGGTGCATTATCTGAATTAAATGTTTTATGATCAAATCAGATAAAAACTGAGCTGTTGGGTTATAATAGGAAGAGGCTCAGTGAGGCTTTCAAATCTAAGAACAGTGAGCAAATTGATGGCAGCATCATCCTAATTGCCTGTCATACTGATAAAGATTCATTTATTTAATTAATTAAAATTAGTTATGTATTACTGCTTCTCTCCATGTAGATTTTTCTAGATGTAAAAAAAATTTAAACATAAACATGTTTCAAAACTATTTAGTCACAAAAAAATATATGTATATTGATGGGGGGCTACCTCCAAATTCGCCTTAATCAACAGGGAGTTGAAATTTTGACACATTCAGGTTTTTCAGTAGGGCTGTGATCCCTGACACACATCCAAACTTGTTTTAGATAAACCAATCTAACATCAGGCTGTGGAAATAGCCCAGACCTCAGCTGTTTCCAAAGTTTATAAACAACGTTTGAAAGCCAGTTCCACAGCAATAAAAAAAAAAAAAAAAGTTTTAAGATGGTCTAACTCTCTACCAAACTAAAAGTGGTAAAATGTGCAAATGCCCAGGAACCTACAGACACTGTGTTTGTTCTGCAACTTGCTGCTGGAGATTTTAATAAAGAATAGTTGGGCTGTAGCTATATGTATTAGAGCTTTGATTACTATTTTCCAACAACATTGCATTCATATATGTCTTTTATTACTGTTTTTTTAAATTAACGATTTTTTTGTTGTGTGCTCATGCATAAGCGAAGGTTCCAAGCTTAAAAATCAGAACTGGCTTTATTGTGTACAAAGAAGGGGTTATTTGGTTGTCATCTTTCACAATGCAGTCAACAACCACAGTATAAAACCCACAATAAAAACAATAACATGAATAAAGACGAGTTTGTGTAAGCCTTGGACTGGAAGAACAAAAGTGTGTTATGAAGATACCATCTTCACTTTTCAGTCTTTGCATAAGTTTCCATAACCACAGACCTCGCTGTAATCGTAAAATGCTTTTTGAGAGCCACTAAGATCCTGACTGTTGGCCTCTGAAAATTTGTCGACGTTCTTTGCCTTCTTGCTTTGTAACGTAGAAGATCCTGAATTGCAGGATGTGCTTGCTCTTCAAGCACTGGTACCTCCACGGATGCAGCGTTAATGTGATACTTCCTCTGCTAGAGTCCACGGCTGAAGGCGGAGATATGAGTTTAACAGCAGTGGCTTGCTTGAATTGAATTACATCACTGTAAGCTTAGCAGACAGATGTAGCGCATGCAGAGGAAGGCTTCATTTAACTTTGGTGCTAACTGCAAAAGAGAGTGGTGAGAAGTGACTCGGAAAAGATCCTTCTGCCAGATGCTCATGCTTAGCTCTATTTGTTAATGTTCCTTCATGTAGTGGTTAATGATTAATCGGTTGTTTTATTTTTTGGGGGTTTTGTCTAAAAAAAATCACGACACCTGGCATTCTTGTTTTTATTGCTTGGAAACAATAAACACTGGGGAAAAAATTCATAAACATCAGAAAGAAGACTTCAGTTTAGATTGGAAATTACAGATCTGTGTGATATAAAGCTGCTGGTTGGTTACTTGCTGCCACAGTTCCAGCTTTAATTAGCTCGGACAGAATAATCAGCTCATTTTTTATTCTCCATTTTCTAAATGGAAACGCATGTGAAGCAGGGGAAGACAACAGACTAATTTGAAACGCATTAATCATTCAGTCGAGGACTGGAATTTGCCAATTTTTCCTTGATTAGCTCGGATTGTTCAAAAGTTGACGAATCAAATGTTTTCATATTAATTAGATGCTTTAAAAAAAAAGTTTAACTTGACTAGATGCAAGGACCTTCATGTACCCACATTTGACTTTAATTTAATTAGCAGAGGAGCGACATTGGGCATTAACATTTGAAACTACACAAATATAAATGCACCCAATTATAGCGAAGGCTGGTTTCATTGTTAGTCCCCATGCTACATGGCACGCACTGAATGACCTGAAATTATTCAATTCATATAAGACAAACATAAAGATGGAATACATCATATAAGAGATGGAGTATAGACTAGTTATCAAACTCCAATCTATATCTAAACTTTATGTGCACAATATTGCAATCTTATACTCTAACAAAGCAGCCTATAAGTTAATTAATAAATGTTAATAAATGAGAGATAAATATATTTGCACTGTTGCTTTGAAATATTAATACAATACACTGGAGATCTTTTTTATCATTGAGATGACTCTTATGTGATAGTTTTAATGGTGTTAATAAAAGACGAGGCTTGATTACATCTATCAGAGTGGTGCAGAGAAGCTGTAATGGTGATCACATTAACACTCTTTGGGGAGGACGGTGCACCGTATCAAATCTGGTGGCCAGGTTTGATTCCCAGCATCATTTACTGCATGTCTTCATTTACTGCTTATTTTCAAGCCATATACTAACGAGTAAAGATCATTAGAGCCAAAAGAAAAAAGAAAAACAGCTAGGGTACAGAGTCACATTTTGGCTTCTCGTTGCTGTTTTTGGAGTTCTGTCCACTGGTTTCATGTTGGCATCAGATGGTTTACCGTAAAAGCTCAACTTCATTTCCCTCAGCCTCCGTTTCAACAAACCTCTGCGTGAGCCAGATAAGCAGTGCTTAATAATCTCCCTCTCATCTGTTTTCACAGTCCTTTTTCTTTTTGGCTCTTTTCTATACAGTTCTTATATCTTACTCCAGGTTTTTGGAAAGCATTTTCTTTTTAAGTTTCTGTATATTCTCATGGCCCAGATAGAATCTTGTGAGCCGTGCACCTTCACAAGGGAATAAATAGAGTTTTTACCTCGAAAGGTGAACATCTGTTTGAGAAATAGTTTTTCGGCTGCTGCGGATCATAAACCTTGTCGAGCAAAGCAGCTATTGGTTACTTTCCAGGGTGCTTCCTTGTTGTGCTGAAGAGATATGTAAGATAAGCTTTTTAATGGAATCACATATTTGATTTCAGTTTTTTAAATCTAAGATGGTGATTGAGGAATTTATGGATTGCTGAGAAAGTCTAAAATAGTTCAGCTTCTAGAAATACCTAATGAGTAGGAGTGGGCTCATGTAAGAATCCCACAGTATGTTGAACAGCTAAAAATAATAAAATTACAGTATGTAGTAAAACATTAGTAGAAGTTCATCTAACTGCTGTTACTTAAGGCAGAACATAACGACCACTAAGGCCTCCCTAAAAAAAAAAAAGTAGCATTTTAATGACTGTAGTTTAATTATGCTCTGAGTCGGAGTAACCTTTTTTATTAATATTCTCATATCGACCTTGGTTAACGTATACAATAGAATCCTATAGACTAATTTACTGTTTGTGTGCTATGCTAGCCATTATTTGTAAAAAAAAAACAAAAAACAAAACAAAAAACATACATATACCAAAACTCTCGATCATGGAAATTAACTTGAAAAATGAACCTCCTTGTGTAACCCTCCAACCATGCCTGCCGACAGGGCAATTGTCCCGGGCCAAAGGTAGAGGGGGCGCACTGAATCAGCCCCCTTCATCTTTTACCACAAATTTTCTTTTTTAAAGATTTTTAAGGAAATTCAATTCATTTATTCTTAAGTTTCATAAAATCTTTTTGAATTATTACTTTCGATTTTCCACTAGGATATTGGGAAATACTCCCACCAGCCATTCCTTCTAACTGGTTATGCCACTGACGCAGTTTCTCTGAAATTTGTCAAGCTGCTATATAGTGGGCGGGTTGCGCTGCAGGTGGAGACAGAAAAATACAGAACCTGAATCTTTCCTCCGTTCACGGTCAGGCAGCAGTGTCACTAACCGATCCGTCCCGGAAGCACGATCCGTTCTGCGCATTCGCCATCACCTCATTTGCGCATCCAGATATACATCCGTGTCGTCCTCGATTCTATTTCGTTAAGAATACCTAAATGGCATTTTCTCTCCCCAAAAATAGTAAACATACTAAAATATAATGTGTTAAGGGTTAGTAATGTATTTCCTGAGAAACTAAATGCCTTAAAATCCTTTCTGTTTTATCACTTGTCTCTTCCCAATGTGCATCGGAAATTAGATCTTACGCTAATAAAGGCAGCTAACTTTTTTGGCTTTGGATTTAAACATAAATCTAGTCTTTTTTGAGTTTTTTGTTTTTGTTATATTTTAACCTTATGTAGTGCATAATTTAAAGAAAGAAATTACTAAAATGCAAATAAACATGGTTTAATCATATTTTGCCGGACTGCTCTAAGCATGTCTGATGATGACGTCAGAGAAGCAGTTTACGAAGAAAATGTAAAAAGCATAAAAATTGTCTCACAAAAGTCATAAAACATTTTTTACAGATGTGTATTAGTATTCTTTAGTGAGTTAAGGATAGAAATAAGTAGTTTTAGTACCATAATTACATTATGTATGGACACACGGATGTATATCTATTCGTGCATGCTCAGAACGGATCGTGTTTCCTGGACGGATCAGGTAGTGGCAAGCAGCTCCATCACTCTCACCTGAGCGGCTCTCACCTGAAGAAGCCTCCTCAAGCCGCAGGAACAGCTTTAGATCAACCTCACTTGCAGTAGACGGTCATAGCTTGTAAGCTCTCTGATGGAGCAAAAAACTGTTTCTGTCAAGGGTTTGTTCCCTATCTTTTCCAAATGAAGTTGTAATTAAGACTTGACCAATGGTATTTGACTTATGTGACTACATGGCGCATTCGTGGCTGCAACAATGCTGCGGTGGAAGTGAATAAATTGACAATCCCTCTGTACTGGGATTTTGAAGAGAGGGTTTTGTTAAACATGTCATACAAGTAGAAATCACACAAGTGAAAATCTATAAATGTGATCAAATCCAATTGGAGCTGGTATGGAAACCAAATGTTCTGCATATTTTATAAATTAAAAACTGAAAAGATCTCTATTTGTAAATGTAAACATTCAAATATAGTTTTTAATCCTTAATTAATAAATAAATATTTTTTCACTTATTTTTTAACTATTCAACATGTTTCTCTTTTTTCCAGAAAAGGTTACTTAAAAAATGTAACATTTTACGGGCCCCCACTCGTCAATTCTTTCGATTTTGTCCGGGGCCCAGCCAAGGCTGTCAGCTGGCCTGCCTCCAACAACCCAATAAGTAGGGGTGTAAATCACAGCCACTATGGCGATTCGGTTCAGTATCAATTTCCTGACCCAACGATTTGATTATTTTCGATACTCAAGAATACATCACGATACGATTCGATTGATTGCTTCTTTTTTTTTTTTTTTACCTTATAGGCTAGACAATTTTTCATATTAGAAATAAATAAATTAAAGCTGTAATATCGTTTTGCATTTTATTTGAGAAATAACAGCAAATAACAGCATCAAAAAATACTGCAATGAATGCATACGTGCACTAGCAGATTAAGTAACAAAAATAGGCCTATACTACATCCACTATAGAATAACAATACTCAACAAAATCAGTGCAATGAGTGCAAAAGTGCACTAGCAGCAAGTGGTAACAAGCGTGTGTGCAAGCGCAAAGAGGGTAGTGGCTAAAGGAAGCGAGATAGGAGGGCGAAATAGGTTTTAAATTAAATCAGGTGAAACTAAAACTTTCCCATTTAAGGAGTTCTGGATAGAGCATATTGACAGACAAAAATGTTTTTTTTTAAATCTTAAACATGAAATGTTTATCTTTGTTCACCATTTTTATATAATTACTGCTCTAAGTGGGTTGCTCTGTCAGCTAAAGGCATGTTTTACTGTTTACTCCAGTTAACGATGAATCGATTACTAAATTAGTTGACCATTATTTTAATAATCGATTAATCCCAATAAGTTCTATTAATTGTTTCAGCCTTAATGAGCAGAACAACTAAAGGGATTATTTACAGGAGTCTTTCTTTGGAGCAGTCTCTGGAACGAGTTAGCATCTGCTCTGCAGCGACCTTTTCTACAGATTCAGCACCGACGCATATAAAACATTATGTATATAAAACCCTGGTGTCTAGTGAAATAGACTCATACCTTTTTTTTAATGGGACATTTGACCACAGAAGACATTATTTTATTTTTTTTTTATGATAAACTCGCTCCAATAGATTGACTTGAGACCCTGAAGCCACAGCTGCCTTTACTGGTGCTGAAATAATCCATAACCTCTCGGTTGTAGTAGAAGTGAAGCCCGTCCTGAGAAGATCGGTTTGAATGACTGGAAATGCAACAACCAGACACTTTGATGCAGGAGGTGCTTATTTTTAATCTTTAGATTTGCTCCTGTTCAAGTACTTATTGCTTAGAGGTTGTTTTTTATTCACTGAGGATAACAAGGGTAAAAAAAAAATCTGGTATCTTGTTAATAAGCTGTCTGCTCAGCTAGCCACGCTAAAGTCAGCTAATTTACAGACATTGCCCCCTGCAGTGTCTTTGCCTTTCACTACATGAGTGTTGTTTCTTTTGTTTGTATGTTTGGTTTTGATCATACGTCTCTAAACAGCTAAATCTGTCTTTGTTGTCAGCAGATAGAAACTGTTTCCGTATTTCAGCCAGCTTTTTTGGCAGTGCACAGCAACAGGTGGGGGAAAGGGAGTTTTTTGTTTGCCTTTTTTCTGAACAATTGATTTCTTAGGGAAGTCTCAGACATAGAATTCGTCTGATGGAAGATTTGAGCTTTAGAAAACCCAAACTTTTACGACGCCATAAGCTGCTCTCTCCCTCTCTAGATGGTTGTATTTTTTTTTCAATGCGTTTCCTTGGCATAGTGCTGTTCTAAACCAGTGCAAAGAAATCTTTTGATTTGATTATCTCCTAGAGAATATAAAATGTGTGCCGGCATGGCTACTCGACACTTTTAAATCAATGGAAAATGTGTTTCGTAATTTCCAAGATTACAGCGGCTCAACGTTTTGGTTTCTTGGTTGTCAAAATAGAGATTTATATATTTGAGTTAAAGGTACTGCGTTATTGTTTTCCTGATTGTCCTGAGGGGAGGAAGTGTAGCAGAAATATGCAAAACCTTTATTAAAAAGCTCAATAGTTTAAAACGTGCACAAATACTATGTTAGGTCAGAGCACCTGAAAATAACCTTCAAATGTTTTCCTTTTTTTGATAATCTCTCTGATGTTTCTTGTCCAAACTTAAGAGTACCAGTGGCTTTGCAAACCTGTGCCAATATTTATTTTTCCACAGGCAGGAGATTATGAAATGGAACGGCTGGGGATACAGCGACTCCAGGTTCCTCTTCAACAAGAAAGGCCAAGCAGAATTTACTGGGAAAAGGTGAGGTGACAGAATGACTCTTTAGTCTTTTTTCCTTTTTTAAAGCTTCCCTCTGTCTGTGTGACTTAGAGCAGGAGTTATGCAGTGATCTCTTTCACAGCCCCTGCTTTGAACCCAGCTTGTGAAACTAGTCGAGCTCCTCTGTCTCCTCCATTAGTGTGGTGCTACTGCCCCCTAGTGTTTGGCATTTAAATAGTGGGCGTCATTCGAGAAGGTCACTGCTTCTGATTCTTTAGACTTTCTGTTGCTTATTAACAGAGACGACCTTCCACCCTATTAGGTTACTGATCATGCAGTATTGGGTGGAAATGTAAATTTACATGTATAAAAAGTACAGAATAGCTGTTTCACTGGATTGAAATGGTGAGAAATGAATCCTGTTTATTATAAATGTTTAGAGTAGGAAGATAACTTGGTCTACAGTCTGCGTGCCTTCCACAATATAAGCAGAAGCTGAGATGCTTCTGTGTTTTTCAGTAAAATGCAGATCAGGGGGAACTAGGAACACGCAAAAATGAGAATACCTTCATGGACTCAACAGGATGTTGCATTACAAATTCTTTCCTCTTTCAAAAGCATGTGCTACAAAATTGCTCTCATCCTGTCAACATATCAAAAGTCCCTTTTATTATTTGTAGCTCTTAAATTTTAAAACCTGTGATTTCCCAGCCTATTTGTTAGGGTCTCCATCTCAGTCGTTTTTCTTCCAGGACAGAGCAGTATTCACCTCAGTCCATGTTTCCATCCACTCTGATTGGCTTTATTGTTCCTCGTGACGAAAGCTGCTGACATGCAGAGTCTACAGATCTGTGTGTAAAAATGAGAAAGTTCAGCGTAGGCCTCTAATTTGTACAAAGCCTGTTTTTCCTTTTTTAAATTTGCTGTTACAAAAAATTATAAAAAATTTCAGCCTACCTTCATCAATTTGTTCCTTTTACCCTACTGTCACGTGAAACTACTACAGTATTTGGTTTTTATGGTTCCAGATCTGGAAAAGTTTGAGCAATATGAATATGCATGCAAGGTGCAATATTGAGATCTGCTCTCCTGCTCCTCGGCTTTTGCTGTAGCAGAAGGTTTATCAGGATAAAATCTGCTCCCCTGTATCTTGGGATGTAGTGCTCCCTAATGGACTGGCCCAGTCTTTGCCAGCAGCTCAATTATGCAAGGAACAGTGAAGGCGATCATAGGAGCTGCACTGTCACTGCTGTCTAACCTCCCCTGACTCCATACTCTACTTTAATTAGTCACAGATTTCTTTCACCCCACTCAACCAAGCCATGGATGTACAGGATTCTAGTGTCTATTTTAGAGTTAATGCAGAGACTCTTTTATCAATCACAGGTATAGACTGAGTGGGATGATCATCCCTGGGCTGAAGGACTGGATGGAAAGCACGTTTGGTGCCAATTTGCAGCATAAAACCCAAGCAACGGTAAGTGTAATTACCCCCCCTCCTGCATTACCCCCTCCTTTCCATTGTGTCTTCAGTGAATAGAAGCACACAGCAGCTGAAGCCACAATGTTTTCGTTTGTTACAGCCTGCTCTGAATAGCAGTGCTGTACAGCCTCCTACGTTAAATGAGGTCTTTGTGGAGGAGCTGAAGTCTACAGGTATTCCTTTCTCTCACGAAGCAGAAGACCGAGTTTTCCGTGGCCACGGTACGGAAGGAGACGTCAAATTTTTTAAATTTTAATGTTTTGGAGAAAAAAAAACATGTATTCATAATATGACATGCTTTCTTTGTGCTGCAGGCCACTGCCTACATGAGATCTTTGCTCTGAGAGAGGGAAAAATCGGCCGTGTTCCAGATATGGTGGTTTGGCCAAGTGAGTGTATAAGCAACGCTATGGGTTAGCAGGGCGGGTGGCGTTGTTTTCCCCTCCACCCACGTAGCATTACTGATCCCCCTGCTGGTTTTGTGATTTAAAGGGTTAATCTCTGCAGAGGCAGGAATATTAATATGTATGAGTGGAAGCTTAATAAGAAGCGTCAGGAGGGAGGATGGTTGTCATCCAATCCTCCACAGTCTGGCCCTCCACAGTACAATCATGAATTATGTTTCTCAGATTGGTTTTCTCTTGATATAGCTGGCAGTGTTTTATCATGCAAATGAGTGTTGACTGATGGCTGGAAGTTGATTAGCAAGCTCCCAAATGGGCAGCAAATCACTAAGAAACATCAGCCAAACTCTGATGCAAACTAGCGTGAAATGTTCTCTTTTCAGTCCTTGCAAGCTTAATTATACCTTTCAAATATTTGATCCATAATATTTATTCAGTTTCTCTTTACATCATATATTGTTTGGTCAACTGGCATTAAAGATACCCCAGCTTCTACTTCTGGTGTTTTACTTTAAAGTTTCAAATATTACAGGAAATTCTTATACTATGTTACTAAAGGTATTTTATCTGCTGTTTATGAAACTATCCTCAATGTTTTTGTTTTAATGGATGGTGATTTTTAAATGACTGTTTCTTTTCTTTCAGGCTGTCACAATGATGTGGTGAAAATTGTGGAGCTGGCTTGCAAACATAATGTTTGTCTGATCCCTTATGGAGGTAAGCCTTAGAATCAAACGTTTGAATCAACCTTGTTAGATTTTACTTTTTTATGTTTCTTATTTTAAAAAAAACATGCTTCTTAATCGTTTAACATTTCTTTGTGAAAATAAAGCCCATAAAATTGAGATTTTATTTATCCTTCGTTTAATGTTCCACTAAAACATTAAACTTTATGTCCTGAAACTTCACTTACTACCTCTGTATTTAAAGTATGCCTTATATTTTAATATACTGTTTCTTGTTACTTCAGTATGCTATATCCTGATTTCAAAACGGGAATAAAGCAATCCTATAGGGGGATATAATGACATTAGCTGTAGTGAGGAAAGTGTGTCGCTCATTTTCTGCAGTGAAATCCTAACGCATCCAGTCACACAAGCTGTAACTTTTCTGCCTTTAATGCCTAAAATATGCTTATTAGACATCTGTAGCACCAATTTGATTAATTACAGACCTGATTTTACCCATGCAGAAGGTGATGTTAATCAAAGTTTATAAGTTGCAAAATAATTGATTTGCTTATTCTTATATGTTGTGAAGCAAAATTGTTTTTTAGTCAGTTTTTAAATGTTTATCATGGTAATGATAAAGTTCATTGTATTATGTATTGTCCTAGAGATAAATAGATAACAGTGATACTCCTAGAACCAAGTTCTCATGTCCTGGAAAAGTAGAGCAACGCATGAGGGTTAAGTTTTTGGACTGAATCCTGTTTAATGTTTCCTTTTCTTTTAACTCTCTCTGGGGCCTTTATGTGGCAAAAAGAGAAGCTTTCCCATTATGTTTAATTCCAGTTAAAAGTTTTTTTTTCTTGAAGAGAGTCCTGCCGCCGTCAACCAGGCCGCCTAATATAACTCAAACAACCCCTGCTTTCACTTATACAACCCTTACTGTGATGACACAGGACCTTTTCTGAGAAAAAGGTGTGTTTAAAAGGATTGTTTCTTACTTTCAGGTGGAACTAGTGTGTCTAGCGCCCTGGAGTGCCCACCAGAGGAAACTCGATCTATTGTCTCATTGGATACGTCACAGATGGTAGGTCAATACTAGTTTCTATACTGAATTAAACATTCCACGTATCATCAGGACTGCTTATTTATGAGATATTTCACATCTCAGTTTTGTCTAAATTGTGTTTTTTTGTTCAAAAACCTTTAATATTTGCATTATGTAAATAAAAAAAACCAAAGTCTCTTACATTATATAGTTAGAAAATATAAATAGCATTTGGATTTAGAATACAAAACGCCATGTTTGGAGGGATCACCCTGAACACCTCGGATATGCTGTGAAACCCAGCGGTAGCAGTATTATGCTGTGGGGTGGGGCTTTTCTTTAGAAAGGACATGTAGAAATGGGAGGAGAATTTTATTGTAGCTAATTTATCTTCAGTTTTATGCCACAAAAAAATCCAGTCTTTAGATTTTACAGATTTGGTCGATTTAAGAGGAAAATCTTTACAATTTAAGATTCTATCAAACTACACTCTTGGGGGGTGAATAGGAATGCATCCTACAATTCCTGAATTTGAATCCATTTAAATAATTAAAGTAAAACACTGTAGCCATGATTATTATTTTCCAATGTATAAAATGTGCTGCAACCCTTTGATCCAGACTCACATAGAGGTGATATACAAGCTGTTAGGATGCTGTTGGATCTGTTTTGTGTCATGGAGATCGGTGTTGGGTGTCAGGGGCCAGAGGTAAAGCGGCTGCCATGAGAATACATTAAAGTAGCACAGTGATAAAAACATAAAGTTTATTACCTCTGAGGAGTGATTGATGGCAGGGATGGGATGACTTCCTGCCAGTAGGGGTGAACTGGAAGCCCAGGGGATCAAACAAGACGCTTGTAGTAGGATTTAAATGTTGACTTCAATTAAGATGACCATTATCTTTGTCCTGTAGCACATCTGCTTGCAGTTATCTCTAAAAATCCCTATGGAAACAAAATATGAGCATCGTAGAAAGAGCGGCGTTAGCAGACTGGTTTCTAAAGAGCGCCGTTTGTTGTTTTCACTATGCCTGAAGCGTCGTACAGTCAGATGGAGTTTGGACGGTTTCCATTACAGCCATTGAGATGAGACGCCACCTTACACATATTAAAGTTATGTCAAGGTTTAAAGCATTTGTTTAAAATGTTTAACTTCCTCTTTAATGTCCCTGTTTCTTCCAGAACCGTATTTTGTGGATTGATGAGAAAAACCTGACTGCACATGTGGAGTCTGGCATCGTCGGTCAGGATCTGGAGAGATTGGTAAATACAGCTTATACATCCGTTATTATTTACACAAAGATCTAAGCCAAACTATAAACTATGCCAGCAGTCCAGCTGGGTGTCCTTTTTGGTTCCTCCAGGTTGACCTTGGCTCTCTTTACATAGTAGATTTCCTAGAATATAGGAAGGTAGAGAACAGAGTGCTGTAGGAGAGAGATTAGTGAGTGAGACGGTGGTCGTGAGCAGATGGCACCATCAAGCTAATTCAGAAAAATGGAGTGGGAGCAGGCGTTTGATGTAGAGGAATGCGTGAGCCGCATCTAAAGCAGACGACACCTCTGCATTTAGACTGAACCAGGGTGATGGAGCAGATGGGTCTGGAATATAAACTGCTTTCCAGAGGGTGGATGTGATAAAACAAAACCTGTCTTTACTTTGGTGCTTCTGGGAAGTACTGTTCTTATTGTTAAAGGTCTTTATTCTCAGGACTATTCTCAGCCGTGGCTTTGATATGCTCCTAATAACCTGAGCAACCTTCTGGGTGCCTGAGGGGCAGTGCAGAAATGCATAATCTCCTAGAAGGTCTGTTTTTCACAGACTGCTAATGGCACATCATTTTATACTGTGTTAAAATGATATTGCATGAAATGTCTATAAATACAGAGAGATAAAGGGTTAGATATTATCCAAATGTCTGATCAGACTCATGATCTCTGCCTCTTTAAATAATACTTAGCTTATGATGGAGAATGGAGTAGAAGGGTATAGACAGTGCCTATACAAAATTTCCAAAGTGGGGAAATTCAGGTGTCACACATAACAGAAAAAAAATGTGCAGCATTCTTGGCTGACTGGAAAAACAACAAAAAGTGTGTATGTGACAGTTCTTGATTTCAGATAAAACAACAAAAAAAACAACAGATATTTCACTAATAAAACTGAGCTAAATCTTTATAAATGACTACATGGATGAAGAAAATCTCACTCTTGTAAAGTAGATCTGCTTGACACCAGGAAAACATATGATATGTAGATACATTTAATACTGAAATGGTTTGGTTTCATTAACATTGGTTACAATGATCTGTCTATTAGAAACCATAGACTCCTAGAAGTGAGTACTCTAAAATATAGTTTTCTGTTTAATACTTACATAGTTTTAACTATGTTTTATTGAAACATGCTTTTATGTTTAAATTCAAGCAGAGTAGTTGCTTTGTCATAGATTATTTAATATTAGCAAAAGAATTTCTCAGGCTTATTAAAACAAGTTATAATAGACATCATATGTGCACACAGAGATTATCAGTTATGTGTTTCCTGCTAAGCAGTTCTCTCTTATATTGTTACTATACACACCCATTTTATGTATTGGACAAACTTGTTTCTCTGTCTGATCATCAACTATTGCAAAACAAACAACTTCAATTTGCACAGCCACTTTATACAATCATGGCTGGTTTTCTGTAACCTTGTGCTGCAAGCTGGATTGTCACAAGATTTGAGTTATCAGTCTCACAACAAATCCGTCTTGAAATACCCCCAGCTAATACGTCCGTCTCGTAACAAACAGCGGGTCGGACCGATGACGTGCCAGCAGGGTTTTTTGAGGCAGGACATGTAAGAATGACGACAGTCAGAAGGTCCTAGCCAGGGCATTACAAACACGGCTACGCTGGAGGACTTACCTGTCGACACCGCCATTGACTTGATTTTAGCTAAAATAGCGACGATCTCTCAAGGAGCAACGAGAAGCACTTTGTGCATTTTTAGATAGGAAAGATGTCTGTACTTTTCTTCCGACAAGATTTGGAAAAAGTTTGATTTATCAGCTTACTCTGCTAGTTGTAAAAACACTCATGAAGCTACAGATGCTTCCTATTGTGATCAGCATGTCTCCGTTGTTGGCTCCAATTGGCTGAAAGCGTATTATGGAAGGCGGGTATCCGCTGTCACGTCACACAATCAGCTCGAAGTATTGTAGTAAACGTCCCTCCTTTTCATGTACAAACTGAATGGCAGCCATCCCAGATTTATAAACTAGAACTCAACTCAGTTTTACACATCTCAGTATCTTAATCTGGCTACTGCCTGGTTAGGTTTTCTGTTTGTTGCTAACTTAACACTGCTGTTGGCTGTTCACATTATATTTGCTTATCTGAAAAATTTGTTTGTTTTTTTAGGGACCTAAATTAACAGATCTTTCCTCCAATAGCTGCGATGGCTTTTACCGCTATTTAGCGCTAGAACTGCTATTATTCTATGAATTTTGTCTTTAACAAAATAAACATAAAATATTTAGATTAAAAGAGAGGAGTCTGATGATTGATTCTTCATGTAACGGTTCAAACATGGTGACTTCAAACCAAGAAGGATCAAGATGTAAACTTATTAAAGGTCTTAACTGTGGGTGTTAGTAGTGCATATCTCTAGACTCATATTGATTGATTGACTTTATTGATCTCAAAGTGAAGAAGTTTTCCCGTTACATCAGCTCAAATAGTCAAAGAAGAAGAATGTGCCAAAGGAAGAACAAGGTGCATGGGATATATATACAGTATATACAGTGCATCCCTATATGACCGTTTTTTTGTTTTGTTTTTTTATAAGAGGATTATTATACAGGGTTATTGCGCAGGGTGTTTACATGGTTATTTATATAGATAGATATTTATATTTGTATATATATTTATCACTTGGTGTCAAATATAGACAGACAGATTATTGCAAAGGGTGTCAAATAGTAAATTGCACATTATGCTAGCGTTGCGCCAATGCCATTTATTTTTTTTTGGCCCCGATACCTGGCTGTGCAGTATTGGCCGATACCGATACCATCTGTTTGAAATTGATGTGTGTGTGTGTATATATGAAGAGCTGAATACTATTTGGATGTAAAATAATTGCCATCATTGCTTTGTCAAGCTGCTGCCTACCTTTGTGAAACAGGAAAAAAAACTAATACAAAGTGAATCCAGTAGAACTTTTTATTGCCTACCTGGAATGGGTGACAACAATTGGCTCTCAAAATGGTATCGGTGGCCTATTTGTTGGTAATCGCCGATACTGATACCACCATTTTAGTGCTGGATCGGGGCCCCTCCCGATACTGGTATCGGTATCTGTGCATCACTACATTATACATTGTACAAGTTATTGCCGTTGTGGTGTTGCATAGTTGTCCTGGAGAAGCTCCTGTTAGATGAAAACATCTGTTGCTGTCAGGAAAAACAAAAAACTTTAAAGGTGCATCCAGAATTGAATAAATAAGTTAGGATTTGGTCACGAAATTAAAGTAATTAACAATAATAATGCTTTTATAATATACTGTTATAGTCTAATGCACTTTAATGCTGTTATGTTTTGAGATATTTATTGCTTTTTTTAACACTGTATGATATGATATGATATGATATGATATGACAGTTGATGATCTCCAGTAGATTATAAGTTAATAATGGTGTATATGATGTGTTTAAAAGAAGGCTAGTCCACTTTAAACCATTTTTTACATGAAGACCCTTACTGTTTGTTTGTTTTTCCCCTCTGGGCTTATGAAGCTGCTGTAAATATCTGCATAGCTATAAAGCCTTACTTTTTACTATAAATGCTGCTACAGAACAGTAATTACATCCCCCCCACACTTTTTTTGTTGTTGGTTTTTGTCATTAAAACATTCTTGTGGGTTCAGAGCATCAAATGTTTTCCAAACATTTTTCCCTCTTTAATTTATTTAATTTTTTAGCCAACACAACAGACACATGCTCTTTTACTTTTATCGCAGCTTAATGAGAGCGGCTACTGTACAGGGCACGAGCCCGACTCCATGGAGTTCAGCTCCCTGGGGGGGTGGGTTGCTACGAGAGCCTCGGGCATGAAGAAGAACATCTATGGCAACATTGAAGATCTGGTGAGTCACCTCCCTTCCCTTTGGCCATGCTGTGTGTTTGATCCACTCCACGCAACGAGGGAACACAAGTTCCTGCGCAGTAATTAGAGAGAAAGCAGGGCTGTTTTTGACTCGTCCTTCACTTATAAACTTATATTTTGCAGTAGTTGTAGAATAAGTTATGAAAAGCACACTGCATGCAGGATTGTTAGACACCCTGGAAAAGTCTGGAAGCGGGTTATAGGTTTTTTTTAATATAGATAAGAATGGATAATTATTTTTCTTCCTCATTCTTTTCTTTCCCTCTTTTTTTCTCCTTCCTTTCTTCCAGTTTTGTCTCTTTACCTTTGTTCTATTGTTTTCACATACCTTTCTTCTTTTTTTCTTCTTTCCTTTTGCTCTTTGTTGCAAGCATTCACACTACCTTAATATCAGACATGGTTGCATGCATTAAATTACTGCTTTTAAACAGAAAAGATTAAAATTCTAATGCTGCGCTCACACTGGGTGTGTTCTGGGCGTTAAAGCCTCTGGTTTACATGCTAATTCTAGGGGGGGCAGCGGCGAGTGGTACAGCAGTGCGTTCAAGCGTTGGGAGCGGCACATTATGAGCATTCTGGCATCCGAGTGTTCGAGCTGGAGTTCGGTACATTGAACTTTTGCCGCTGGATGCCGGAGCATCAACCAATCAGAAAAGCTGATCCACTAGTTTTTTGGAGGAGACAGACACTACGGCTGAATCTCAAACCGCTCCCTAACCACTAACACTGATCTATCAAGTCTCAGTCACAATAAAGTCAGACTCAAAGCTGTGATAGCGACCTTTCCTCCAATGGAAAAATAAATCAGTCATTGCTATGGCAACACAGTGACGCCCCATGTGCGTGGCTGTAGCTCTGTGACGCAGGGTGACATAAAATCAAGCATTTGCCCCTTTCTTAAAACAAATGTATACAGTCGAATAAAACTATTTCAAAGAGGACCTTCCATTTTGGAACTAATTACGTTTCTTTTCATAAACTAACTTGTGATTTTTCGTCAGTGTGAGGAAGCTGCAGCAAACCATCGAAGCTTACATTTAAATTCACGCGTTTCCTTCGCCATTAAGCTGCTGTTACACCTGCTGCCAAATTCCAGATGCCTGCACTGATGTAGACTCGCTATTTAAGGGCTGGATGGTCCACTCGCCCTACCCACTGTGGCTTGGGATGGCAGTTAACCCTCCCGAATGGAGTGTAAGTGCTCAGGGTTAGTGCTTAGGGTCCGTTTTAGGATCGGCCTACCTTCAAGCTGTTACCACCTTTGCAGACAGTCTGTATATGAAAAATAAGTAAATATTAAGGGAGTAAGTTAAATTTAAAAACAAAGCCGGAGGAATGAATTGTTATGTAGAAGGAACAGAGGGCGAGCTCTGATCATTACTGCTGCACTAAAACATTTTTTTTATGAGCTATGGCAAAAAAGTTCATAAATACCCAAATTAACAAGAAATATTAAAACCTAACGCTGAAAAATGTTTGATTGTATATTCTGGTACTTGCAGTTTTTACCACAAACCTTAAAATCTCTTTATATTCACCTCCAGCCGCTACGAACGGTGCTTTGTCAGAACATCATACATGGTCAGAGAGGCATAATTGTTCTAATAGGCAGGCTTGCACATGCCAACAGACAATTACTCCCACATTGAATTTTAGCAGCAGTTTACTAAACAGCAGAAACACTTTTATTTTAATTTAAAAAGAAAAAGAAAATCAGCTTTAAATGTACTGTTATTTCTTGCATGTAGAAATGTCCAGACATGATTGAAGTTTTAGGGATGTCGAGAGAAGAACCATATTAGCCAATATTAATTTAAAATAAGTTACTTTAGTAGTAAAAAAAAACCTGTGCAGGAATTTAAATTTGGTTACATTTTGTGTTACATGTTTAAAATCCTAGAAATCTTCCGCTTTGGTTTATATATCGTGACTCGGAATTCATTTAGGTTACATAAAAACTAATCATATGCCGATCTGACAGCATCTTCTGTTCTGATAAGAACAATGGCAGCGGGAAATCCCCGAAGCTGCTGGCAGCAGAGAGCGTTCAGCGGGGATTGAGGTCTGGCGCTCTGAACAGGAACTGCATATTTTAGTGGGATCATAATCCTGATGAACTGACTGCACAGAGGATGTTTGGAGGTGGACTTTCTCGCTTAAAAATATGTTAAAACTATTTTCCTAACTTAAAAATTAAATAAAGCCAAGCTGCTCTCTAGTGTGAAGCCACAGAATAGGGCAGATAAACAACTAGAGTGCCGAGCATCCAGACCGTCAAAGCATTAAAGCAAAGTGACCACAGTTTGATCCAGCATCCAAATTTTTGCTTTTCCACATATTTGACGCCCTTTGGTATGAACACAGCATTAGTCTGAAGTATTTCCATGGAAAATCTTTAGAAACAATGAACAAGTCAGCAGCACATGGTCTGTAACCAAAGAATTAACACCCTTATTTTCCTCTGATTGAATAGGTGGTTCATATCAAGATGGTTACTCCTCGAGGTGTGATTGAAAAGAGTTGTCAGGGACCGCGGATGTCCACGGGTCCAGACATTCACCACTTCATCCTTGGCTCAGAAGGTTTGCCTACTCGCTCACTTGTTTTCAGTACACATTAACTTGTGCATATCTGCAGAGACTTTGTGTTAAAACAGTAACATCAGGGCAGTTCTCATGTGCTCCACTTCTTTCTTACACATTAACTAGGTTTTGTATAAACTAACCTCAGGTAGTATTTGCTGAGAAAAGGGAGTTTTGCTGCTCTTCATCTGCAGTGCCCTGTCCTTGTGAATGTCCACTGAGAATAGCGCCATATGCCAAGTTTCCCAACATAATGAGGGGGTTCAGAGAGGCTCAGCACTGCTATGTTAAACAGCTGTGGATGCAAACTTTAGATTGGCTGTGAAGAGCTCAGCAATCTGCTCCCTGGTTTGGCTGGAGAGTGCTGCATAAGTCTCAATTTGTGTTGATTGGATGTGCAAAGCTGTATGTAAGATCGAAATCATACAAATGTAATTTAACACGGCAGATTAATTTAATACACACTTGTAAATCATCAGCGCTGCTCTTGCTATAATGATACAGCAGTGGTTTTCGATTGACGTGTTAATTTACACATTTGAATTACTGCTTTTTTTTTTTTTACCCAGCTTCAGTTTCTGTATCCTAATTTTGATTCTTGTTTTATATGCTCAGACACACACACACATTACTAAGGATGGTAAGGCTTTTTAGCCTTATGATTTAGCAGCTTCTTTTGATATTTAAACTGAGGAACTAGATTTTGCATTGGATCTATAGAATGTGTTAATCAGTGCAGAGTTCGTTTTTCTCACACATGGGGTTTCTAAAATGTTCACTATTCTTCTTCCATCACCGGAGCACAACTTGATATATCTGTCTTCTTAAGGCTTTCTTTCTACCCTTCCTTCATTATGATAGTTTGGCAGAATGCATGCTGCGGAAACCTTCTTCCACCTGAGCTCTAGCTGCTGCTGATACTCAGGTCTACTGTTGTTTTTTGGGATTTTACGATGCAGTTTTTTCATTGATATTCTCCAACAAACTGCAGAAACTTTCAGAGAGCAGCTGCATTTGTAGACTTACTAGACTCTAATTACTGAAGGTGATTGGATGAACTGGGTTTTGGGGGAATTCAAAAGAAACTTGGCCTTTAAAACTGATGAAAACAAAATTATCCAATCATTTTTTATTAATAAAGAAAAACAAACTATACTTTCTGAAACACTTTGATTAAGCACACTTTTCTGTTGGTCTGCAATTTAATTCCTCTTAAAGTATATTGAAGTTTTTATTTGTAATCATTGAAAAGCAAAGTAAAAAACCTTCTTTCTCATCAGGGCTACAAATTTTCTGCAAACAATGACTCTTTGAGCGAGATTTAAAATCACAACTTTTATTGATATTAATTCATACCAGAGCCCCCCTATCCTTAATCCCTTAGGGTTTAGGTTTACACTATAGAAAAATCAGCTGTTCTTTTAGGCTAACCAAGTAGAAAATGAACTGTCTAAATGGCACCAGTACACAGCATAAAGCCAAAAGGACCACATCATGTTTCCCGGACTCTGTGTCTCTCAGGGAGGCAAAACATTGAAGCTAAAGGTCAACCCACCATGTAGTCTCATTAAAATTATCAACCTCCTCAAGCTAACAACCCCACACTGCAGCTTGACGGGAGGCCGCACAAACAGCAGCTCCGCAGCACCAGCGATGGCCTGCATGTTAATAGCAATACATCCATTTTATTAGAAATTCCCCTCGAGTCTTTATCTGCTCATTCTCTGCACAACAAAGAGTTTTTTTTTTCGTTTTTTTTTTTATTATCTCTCTGACCTTGTAGTAGCCTGAATTTAAAGCAGCTTCAACCAGGATGACTGGATTGAACACTAATCTCTCCAAAATGTCCTCTGATAGTTATTGTAAAGCAATCTAATGTGCTAAAGGTTGAACCCCAGCTGTTATCTAATGGGAGGGAGTCACTAAAGTGATTGTTGCAGAACACCTTAAAAAACTGCATTTATACAATATGAGTGCTGTGCAGCGCTGGTTCTTTCTCATCTATCCTCTCTGGTGCTGCTGTTGGGTTTACATCCTTTTTATCTGCACTACCTCACCCTCCCTTATTCTGTTGCCATATAGCTCCTCCCCACCTCCCTCCATTTCCCAATCATTGTGCTCCCCTAACGCTCCTCCTGCCCACTGTTTACGAGGAGGAGCCAGTGAAGATATACGTTTCATACTGGGCCACTAGAGAGCAGCGTGTGGCATATATAGACAAATGCTTCTGCTTTGTTTTTCTATATCCACAATCCCTAATTATCTGTTACAATGTTTTTTTTTTATATTGAACTCAGTATTTGCATCTAAGTAAATAATTTTTAATTTACAACAGAGATTATTAGACACTTAAAGATAAGAGCCCCTCAAAATACACCGTATTACCAAAAGTATTCACTCTTCTGCCTTGACTTTCGTATGAACTTAAATGGATCTTATTCTTGATATATATTGCAGTGAACATGTAGTTTGTCTATCCTTTGCAGCCATAACGGCTTCAACTGTTCTGGGAAGGCTGTCCACAAGGTTTAGGAGCATAGCATGTTAGAAACAGAAGGCCTTCCTCTCAGTCTCCGCTCTAATTCATCCCAAATGTGTTCTGTCGGGTAGAGATCTGGACTCTGCGTAGGGCAGCCGAGCCCATCCACACCAAACCCTGTGGTTTTCATATCTGTATGGATCTTGTTTTGTGCAGTGGTGTAATGTGCACATTTGTTTAAAAAGGTGAAACAAAGCAAATTGTCTATATAAATGTAACACAGAAAAATTTTAAAAAATTTTGTTAGGAGGTTTGTGATTGCTTGATTGTGAATGTCTTGAAATTTCAACTGAAAAAAGTCCACCAGTGCACTCTAGTAATTGTAGTAATAATAAGATAAATGTTGATAATGAAGAGGATTTTTTTCATTTAATGACAAATAAAAGGAAAATGTACATAACATACAGTATTATGTATGTTTTACATGCCTCAGACAGAACATTAGGACGATTCTAATGAACACAAGTCAAGTGTCATGTTACCATTAAATACCATTTTTAGCCATTTGATCCGGAAACTATCATACTTAAACCTCTGAAATTATTTTGCCATGTCAACTATCTCTAATTGAGTGAAGCACAGTATGTCATGAAATACATAATTTAAAGACAGTTAAAGCAAACTTTAGTCAGTCATTTCCAGGAGTTGAGAGCTGTGTGACTTTAGTAGCACCTACCTCAAATGTTTGGCATTTGTGCAGATGAGTTGCTGCTGGTGGCCCCCACCGCCTTTGATAGGGACCCACTTTAGCCCCTCTTGCAGATAAATCTTAGCTGTCCCCTTGTATGTGGTAGAAGACCAGACCTAATGTGAAATGTGATACAAAGGTCACACAAATGACCCAGAGGACATGTGCCAGAGCCTTGTTGAATTATTTTAAGCTCTGCTTTTAATTGCTTGCTGGTATAAATTGTATTCAAATAAAAAAAAAAAAAAGTAGGAAAACGGTCCCATACATTCTATAATGCTCAGCTGTTTTAATGATGGACAGCAGAGCCCAAAGAGAAATAAAAAGCCTTTCCTGTTTTTGGTAAACAGCTAAAGAAGTCAAAGTGAAGATGCTGAATCAAATAATTTAAAACTGAACAACCTGATCCGCTATCTCTACTTAACATTACTTACTTAACATTTTTTTGTTTCTTTCCCTCCTTTGCAGGAACCCTTGGTGTAGTTACCGAGGTAACGATAAAGATCCGTCCCATACCAGAGTATCAGAAGTACGGCTCTGTGGTGTTCCCCAGTTTTGAGCAGGGTGTGGCCTGCCTTCGAGAGGTGGCTAGACAGGTAGGGGCTCCGTCATTTTCATACATACCTATAACTATCTGATTATCTGGAGTTCTTTATTTCATTATTTTCTTTGTTAGCTGCCATTAAGTTTTTTTCCCCCATTATAATAAAAAACAGGCAAAAAAAAAATCAAACGAACACATTTTAAGTTGAAAGTCCAGAGGGAAACCTGGTCTTAGCAAAATATCTAAGCACTGGTTGTCTGTATTAACATTAAACGGAAGTCATTAAAATGCAAAGTCATTCATTTGTTTTAAAAATTACTATGTTGTATCCATTTTTTGTTTGCTTTATTAAATTGATTGCATGGCTTTATAAACTAAGACTGTTTTTTTTAGATATTCTTTACATATCTCATTTACTGCCTCTTCATTCCTTTTTATAGGTATAGGGGATACCAGTAGAGATTTATATTCAGCAGTTTAGTAAATTTCAACATGCCATGTTTTAAATTTAGATAATAGATTTCTTTTATACATTTTTTAAAACAATCAATGCATCTTTTGCATTCCTTATCATTTAAGAGGTGAGTCAAATAATTTGCTTGAGTAAAAATATTTTTTGATCTAAAATGAAAATCCTTAATGTTTTCAGACTGTAAATTCCTGGTGTATCAGAGGGAACCAGAAATTACAAACTGTTACGATTAACATTTGAACATAATTGTGTTTAAATAAACTTTCTTGTGCATCTTTTAGCTTTTTTTATGTGCTATTAATTAAGCTGTCCACATTAAAAACACTGATTTCCAAATGTTTTCCTCAGAGGTGTGCTCCAGCATCTATACGACTTATGGATAATGAACAGTTTAAGTTTGGTAAGTTTTGTTTTACAGTTATCTTTCAGTGTGTTCTTATTTATGCTGTTGATCCCCTATTTCTTCTGTAATACTGAGTGGACCAAAGTATTAATGGTATCAGAGAAAGCTCAGAGATACTGGAAGCTCCCCCCCCCCAACATCATTGCACCCATTCATAAAGTTTTTAGCCTTCGGAGCTTTAAACCATCCTCTGCAACAGAACCATCTGGAAATTGAAATGTTGGCACTCTTTCAAATCTTAGTCAAGGTAAAGATGAAAAGCATAGATAAAAGATAAGATGTCAGTAATGTTCTAACTGTGCTGATCGCTAATATGAGACGCTAGAGACAGTTTAAAATCTCATCTTTTGTTTGAAATTGCAAACATCCTGTGTTACATAAACTGCTTCCCACTCATGGTGTGTGGCGTCCTTTGTTCTTTATGTGAATAACAAATGATTTCCAGTGGATAAAATAAAAAAAATAGATGCCGTTAAATATCCATAATAAGTAGAAGTTGGTATCAGCTGGTAAAACCTTTTCAGAAAAACAGACTTTCAAATTTTGCAACAAAACTGCAATTGCTGCATCTCTACGTACAATACCAGATCTGCAACTTTAAAGGTTCTTATCAAACAGTGGCAACACTTAATGTTCATACATGTTTTGAGTTTTTGATGCATTATCTCCATATTAAATCATAGAACCAAGTGAGTATTTGGATAACTCTCAGCTTATACACTGCCAAAGATTTTTATCTAAATAGGTCAATTTTTCTTAAAATAAGTACATTTTTTTTCTTGAATTGAGCAGACAAGTGGGACAGTTTGCCAATGGAATAATACATTTACATTTAAATTAAGAAAAAACAAATGCAGTCTCTTATTTCATGCGGCAGATCATCTTATTTTACTACTCAAATTAAGGGTGTAAATTACACAAATTTTAAGAGATTTTTAAAACATTTTACATTGTAAGAACCTTATGTTTGTTTTCAGCTCTTTTCTAAACTGGCTTTGGTAAAAATTCTGTCTTCATGATGTGGCAACTTTAAAGTTCTTCATAATCTGCACTTTAAAAGCTGCTCAGAATTACCATAAAAAAAAAAATCCATCAATGAAGAGGGCATTATTTGTATTTCTTTCTGATATGTTTTGTGCCCGTTGGTCAGAATCGTCGTGTTGGAATGTGCTGTTCTGATTCAATTATTTTAATCACTGATATTCCTACTAGAGAAACATGGTAGCTTTCAAACTCAATTTAAGTTGATTTTCTTTTTCTTAAACGTGTAGTTTTGTGAATTTATATCCATTAAAAGATTCCTCTACATATATGTGACTTTCTACAGCTCCATGCTTGTAGTCTGGATGTCATTTTTTTCAGCAAAAGAGCAGCACCTACTGTATGTATAAGAAAAGTGGACCAGAAGCATAATGACTAACAAGCTGGACCAGAATGACGTCATCTTTTCGCTGAAGTTTTACAATGTTGTTTCCTGAGCTCTTGTGGAATGCATCTGGCATTACCAGAGATCTCTGTAAAGTTACCCCATCCCCAGGGATCTCATTATCTTCCCTGTATTTCCACTTTTCACAGAGTAGGCACTTCTTAGTATTAAGTAGGAAAGATAAGGTGACCAGTGCGTTGTGTTTTTTTTGCGTGTTTTTTTTTTTTTATCCCTACCTTTTATTTTTATATATTTATCTAGTTTGACCGCTACCTTATACTCAAGGCTTTCTGCTACCTTCATTGTTTTTTTTAGAGTTTTGCTCCTACTTGTAGTTTAGTTTAGTTTAGTATTAACAGAAAATACCATTGGAGGAGAGAGAATTGTATAAACCACAAGCCTAGAAGCTCAGAAAACGATGCACACACAAACCAAACCCTGCTCACCTCCTTTCTCTATCTGGATTTTTGAGTATTTAATTAACGACTATGATAGCTGTGACAGACCCCCAAGACCCACAATCAAATTTTGGAATGGAAACAATTAGGACACTAAGTGATGAAGAGACTTTAGCATGGGGGGAAATAAATGAACTGTTAAGTCTCCCCGACATCACCCATGACTTCCCTGCTGTGATTGATAACCATCCCATCGGCCCCCAGCCCCTCATTTTTGCTTGTCCACAGGCGCTTTTGTGCGTCCGATCAGGAATAAATCAAAAAGTGAGGGTGAGGAAGACTGATATCTCTGTGTCAACCCCACTTCCCTTTGGAAGCTGCCTGATTTATAGTTGCTGTCGCTGGCAGCTATTGGGCCTGTTATGAAGTTATTCAAATGTTACTATTTATATTTTTTCTGTAATAGTCTAAATATAACAGACTTGTTTGGCCCCTTGGAACATGAGATGATGCAGCAGGGAGGGGATGTGTCTAAATGTAGTTAAAAAAAAGAAAAAAGGATTTTAATTAAATCAGAATATGATGCCAAATATCCAGAATATTGAGGCCAAATATCCAGTTGCCAACATTTGGCTAAAGAGTTATTATATAGGAAGATATAAATACAATGTTTTATATGCAATGAGCGGCTATCTGTTAGTAACATTAAGATCAGCGGTAATGTTATGCAAAATCCAAACACTCTTAATCATCTTCTATTGTTGATTACTAAAACCTTCATTCCTGAAACTAGGAATTATTTTATACATGTATAAATATTTAAAGAAACAGATCATTTCCATAAGGCTGCCAACATTTCAGTCCAGCAATTCCCTATTTTGAAAACGCAATTGGATATAGTAGAGCAATTTTTCTGCCCTCATGTTGGCCTTCCTGTTATCTGTCCAAAGTCTGTCTCTCTCTGACTTTCTTGCAGCTGAATGAAACACAAATATGGGTTTCTTTTTTTTATGAAGATATCTATATTTAAGCTATTATCTTTCATATTTATGCTTTAATGCCGATAATTGGTAAATTCTAGTCATCCTTTGTTAAATACATGCATGATTCATTGTTTGGTTTTTCTGTTTCGAATCAAAGCACAGAAAGAAATTACTTTTTGTTTTCAAAAGTCTGTCCAGAAGGTCAAAAAACATGGTCATTAGAAAATAGAATGGGAGGGGGGGGTAATTTATGATAAATATACAGCAATATTACTAAAAATGTAGGGCAAAAAAGATTATGAACAAAATAGGAAATCAGTAAATTCTCGATAAACTGGCAACTGCTACTGTCAAACCCAGTCTGGAATCAGCAACGCTTTGCACCATTACTAAGCTCAACTTTACTCTGAGCGTCAAAGGATGCACAACAAACAAAATAGGCAACCCTATGATGTTTACAACATGCCCTTAATGCTTTTACTTTGAAGTCTAAATACTGAGAAGATGGCAGATGCTAAGTTGTTGCCCTGGGTAATGGCAGCTGGAAATCGATGTTTAGGGGGCTGATTTCATATCTGATTTCATATCGGTGAATTTTTCTAGCTTAATATTAAGACAGAATAGATAATGTAAACAATCAATCACAATATTTATATAACGCCAACATCCATGATGAAATGTTCACAGTTCTGATGTTTATTGAAAACATAATACACTGGATGGTCTGACCAGGATTTGTGATTTCACCAGAAAGTGCCAAAAAATATGAAGCAGGTCTTAGCAGAAAAATAGACAGCCTTTTTATTACATTTTTTGACTAAAAAAACAGAAAAAAAATGTATTCCTTTTTTTTTTTCCTCGCAGCATTTTAAAACCAAAAAAACAAAAGAACAAATTGTACATGTAGATTCTGCATTCTTTGACCAGACAAAAAAAAAAAAAAAGAATGTACCTTTAGTTTGCAACTGTCCAGTGGTGTTGATCTCCTAAAAAATCTCCTATTTCACTGTTAGATTCGCCTCTACATAACATTTACTTTTTATTTCTGCAGGCCATGCCCTTAAGCCACAAGTATCTTCCATTTTCACATCTTTTCTGGATGGACTGAAGAAGTTTTACATCACCAAGGTAAAAAAAAAAAAAGAAAAAGAAAAAAAGAATTAAAACACTACAGCCGCCATTTCTGGTGTTTTTGTTCCTGAAAACCCATTCTCGTTTTTTTTTTATTTCCAGTTCAAAGGGTTTGACCCCAATCGCTTGTGTGTGGCCACCCTGCTCTTTGAGGGAGACCGAGAGAAGGTCCTGCAGCACGAGAAGCAAGTTTATGACATTGCTGCAAAGTTTGGGTGCGAACACTTGATCTTTTCTCTCTGTTTGCCTGTCTTTAGGACAAAGAAGCAATAGCAATGACATGTCTTAAAAAACCCTCACCCTTTACTGTGACTCGGCAGTATGTATCGGTTTGGACTAACAAGTCACCTTTAGATATTTTCCTTCCAGTTCAGCTGTAATGTTAAAGCAAGTCTGCGATGGGAAGTGATGGTAGAGCACCAGTCCCCTGAGGACAACTGAAAGGAAGATGACAAATCCCGGTTTTCCTCAATTGATATGATTGATGATCTAACAGTCGGGACTTCCCACCAGAGAGAAAACACTGTCTGATGATCCTCCATTCTAGAAAGCAACCTGTTCATTCGGTTCATATTAACGTTGCGTTTGAATAGTGCTATTATCTATCTTAAGTTCTATTTTAGACTATTTTACACTTGAAATTAAAGGCCAATTTCTACCTTATTGTGAAACGACTATAAAATGAAAGAAAAAAGAAATTTAGTTAGACTTTACTTTTTCTCCCATTGAATGTTTTCAGCAGTTTCTAAGAACTTCTGAATGTTCAACAAAATTGTTAAACATCATTCAACGTTTGGTTTTCTTTCCTCAGAGAAAAACGAATCAAGCAAAACAGTGGAACAATTTTTTTTTTTTGGCTTTTAATGCAGGTGATTGCTATTTATGTATGAGTAAAATGGGGTTCACAGATGTAGCTGTGTGTTTTATCGAAATATAACAGTATTAAAACAATATGATCAGGAAAGGGTTTTTTAATGCTGTTACCTGAATACTATCCATGTACAGGGATCGTTATGCCTGAAGCAATTCTTGACACTGGGATTAAAGATTGATTCCCTGTATTAAAGACACAGAACCAGCTCAATTCAGAAGGGCTCAGTATTTATCATAAAGTATTTTATTAATTTAGGAGTATTTCAATAATTTCACAGGTACCTTGTGAAATTAACAAACTAATCAACGATGATCCAAAAAAAGTAGGATGTCCAGCTGTGCTTTGAAGTGTTGTCTTAAAGATTAAGTGTTGTGATTATTACTGCCTAACCGTTTAAACAGGATGTATCTTCAGCTGTTGGAGCTACTGATCCACGGTAAACAGAGGCTGGGTTTATATTTCGAAACTCTCAGGGTCATTTAAGTCCTTCACCATTTGGTCCCACGGTTTTTATCATTTCCTTCCCCCATTTTGTATCTGTTTTTATAGAATCCTGTTATTTTCAATATTTTTTTTTTAATTAAGATAAGGATGAAATAAGTGCTATAATTCCCTACTTACATATTTTGGATCTGATCCCTCTTTGTTCTGTTGGACCTTTATGAAATGACTTTATAATCAAAGAGGAGCCAATATAACTGAACAGGCAGATGCTTTTTTTTTTTTTTATCTATTAACATCATAGAACATTACGACACATTATAGATAACCGTTTTTTAATCACTGGACAACTAAGCATGTATAGACTTAGACTTTTCTAAGTCTAATTCCAAAAGAATTGATTTGCTAGCAAGAAGTCTAATCAGGCAGCCATATTGTACTTATTTACTACTTTAATTTTCAGAATAAGAATAGAATATGGTGTACAATTATTAAATGATCAGGAAAACACAAGGTTTTTACACAAATGTTCTGCAAACGTAACCTTATTTATCAAGTGCTTTATCATGAACCTTAAGCTCTGGTGCCTTCAGCCTTAACAGATTTGTGTTGTTGAATTTGTCAGGCTGCAAACAGGAGTTTTTTTACATAGTCTTGTAAGGGATTTTATATTATTATTCCTTAGATGATGCTTCTTTCTCACATCCAAACTTTTTTTTATTATCTGCCCTTTCCTCTTAACTCGTCGGATTTCTTGTGTGCGATAGAAAGCCATTGAAGCAGAAGAAGCCCATCAGTTCCATGTAGCATCCTCTCCATAATTGTATTATTTCCAAGAAATGGTGAACACCCATCAGATCAAGTGTCAGTGATGGATTACTTAGGTTAGGTTCAGTTAGGAATGCTTTCCTCTGGTGTAAGGAAACAGGAAGAAGGGTAAAAAAAAAAATCAATATAGTGATTTTCTAATGAGCTTGGGCTGATTAGTTTGGATGGTAAATGAAAATGTGATTACCCACTGCTGGTGATAGATGTGTGGCTGACCTGTGGCGATGCGTGGAGCACAGCGGCATTGATCTACATTGTCGGAGTGACGAGCTGCAGGACAGCTGTTGTGAAGGGCAGCAGTCAGAGCAACAAAGGTGGAGAGAAAAGAGCAGTTAAATATTAACCATGCCGTGTCTTTCCAGGGGCCTGGCAGCAGGAGAGGACAATGGACAGAGGGGCTACATGTTGACCTTCGTCATCGCTTACCTTCGGGTGGGTCACTGCTCTGGGTTTTTCTCTATCTGAGCTGAGGGGCAGGCAGGGAGGCCTTCAGAATATGACCTCAGGAGGTCCTGGATCAGATCTGGTCACAGTTATCAGTACGTCAAACGCTGTGGAAGGAGGACATAGCGGCTCCTGACACCATAACAATAGAGAGTCGACTTGGGTCACTCCTTTTGGAGGTGACAAGTATGTTTGCGGTTACCTCTTACAAACTCCTTTCTCCATTTTAGATTTTTTTTAAAGAACATTTCCTTAGTAAAGTGGACTTATTTGCTGTTTATCAAAAAGTATATTTTTATATTTGCAAATTAACTGAAGACCAATGTTTATTTTTATTCAAAATTGTTGTTTGTCTATAGCAGTTAAACCTGAATGTCATTATCCTTCTCCTCTTATGTTGGATTCATTTAATCATTTAAAAACATTTTAGTAAAATTTTTAAATCTTTTGCGGTAGCAGCTCATCTCACTCGTTAAAAAAAAGAAAAAGAAGATATCTTTTTTATTTTTTTAGCAAAACAATTTGTGGAAGAAAAAAAAGCTGTGCATTATTAAAAATAGTATTAATTATAAATGTTTGGGCAAAATAAAACAAACTAATTATAAAGTGTTGATATTGTTCTGTTTTGAAGTCACTCTAGCTACTATAAGTAGAATAAAGTTAAAATTTGTTATTTTTATTCCCCCCATACATTTCTGACAAAGTAACTTCTGGTCAGGGTGTGCAGGTGTCGCAGTGGTTGGCGCGCATGACCCCATGTACAGAGTTCTTAGTCCTCGACGCGGGCGACCCAGGTTCGAATCCAACCTGTGGTCCTTTCTTACCCACGTCTCTCCCTCATTCCTGTCAGCCTACTGTCGAAAAAGCGAGCCACTAGAGCCGTTCAAATAAAAAAAAAGTCGCTTCTGGTCGATGTCTGCTGTTTTAGAACTGAAATAGCTTGGTTTTGTTCTCTGAACGGCGGACCCTCCTTCCCTCATCATCTTTACCCTCTAAAACTGCTGTACACTGCACCAAACAAGTGTCAAAGAGATCACAGGCACTTTTATATTTTTCAGCTCTCAGTGTCTGAAACTCCTGTTAAATAAGACAGCACTGATTCATCTGGCGCAGACAGCGAGTGATCCTTGTTAACAGGACTTGGTCTGTGGACTGAGATGACCAGGGGAGAAATGGGATATTATTTTTCCTCTGAGTGTATGTTTTTTTTTTTTATCAGCATAACTGAGAGATCCATCAATAACTATTTCTGTTGACTAGCAGATTTTTATTAAAAATGGTATGATGCCATGCACTCCAGCAATGCTCTCCAACCCTAAGGGAGGGGAGCAGAGCACCAGCATCACACTTCTCCCACCGTGTGAAGCTCAGTCTAACTCCAACCTGAAGAGAAGGGCATTTTCTGTTAGTCACAGACATTCTTTATATACCCTCAGCATTGAGAGCAGAAAGTTCCAGGAGAACTTACAATTTTAAACTGTTTATTATGAATACTTCATGTTTTTTTTTATAAGATTGTCAGGGTATGAACAGGCGAGGCACTGGTGAATTATGTTTAAAACTAATATTCCCTTTTTTTTATCACCATCTTTAATAATTCAAAGACACACTAAAGGGTAGATTTTCTTTATATTGTCCAATGTGAGACCACATTGTCATGCTTTTAGCACATCTTTACCAGGAGGTATGTTTGTAGAGTATACATCTCACAAAACCCCACAAAGTATTTTAGCTGGGTTTTACTCTTGATTGAACAGATCAAAGGGACAAAAAGCAAGTAAAGACGATGTAAATGTGCTGAATGCATTAACTTCTCAGACTCCTAATATTAATACTGTATTCTATTCAGGACTTGGGGATGGACTACTACGTGATTGGGGAGTCATTTGAAACCTCTGTGCCTTGGGACAGGTAAGTGCATTAAAGGCTCTTCTGTTAAATTTTAATGCATTTTTCCCCAAGATTTCCACTCTACCTGCTCTAATAGACCTTTTTGTTTTTTAAAATTGACTACTGCGCTGTGACTACCACTATATGTCTAATTTCCTCAATTAAACAACTGCATCAGAGGAGGTTTTCCTTCTTCTTTGCAGGCCCACATACACATATACATATACATAGATAATGGGGGACATGTGTGCTGTGTGGGGGCGGTGTAAAGTGTATAGCATGAGCCACTGATCTTTCTCAAATCCATGTTGTGAGATCTGCAGTTCCAACATGTTTTATTATCCTGCTTTCTCGCACGACGAACGAGAGCACGTGCAGCTCCCTGTTGGGTAAGATGCCTGACGGGAGAGACCAAGAGATCAGGCACTGAGGCAAGCATATGTGCCTGGCTCATTAACCACCCTCCTCCCCATCCCGCACAATCCACACCCGGCTGCACATGCTTAGGACTGGCGGCCATTTCCACACCAGTGGGAATCTCTCGCTCAGTGGTCGCCATGTCAGTCAGTCTGTTGTCCTCCTCCCTTCCTGGCTTCCTGCCTCTTCAGAAAATTAACCCTTTCTCTGCTGCCCATGAATCGACTCAAATGGACATTCCATAGGCAGAACATTTTCGTTATCATGCAAACAGAAATTGTTTAAATTTGATGGTGGAAGAACAGAGCTGTTGAATTTGTACATCGTTTAATTGCTTTTTCCTGTCAGGGTTTTGGACATTTGCCGGAATGTGAAGGCACGCATCGTGCAAGAGTGTAAAGACAAAGGAGTGCAGTTTCCACCACTATCAACCTGCAGGTAATAATAAAAACAACTTAAAGGTGCACAGACACATATTCATCTAAAAATGTGCTTTTTAAAGTCAATAGTTAAAATAACTTATATTAGACCAGCAGGTACAATTTTGAGCCTTTTCTTGTTTCTATTTAAGAACCATAAAGAAAGATTGGAGGGTTGGTCAAGATAGTATTTTCTAACTTCCTCGGTTATTTACAGCAGATATGGCATCATCTGAAAGTCTTACTCTCTCTCTCCCACTCACAGCCTCAATAAACCGCCTTTTCATTTTACTATCTTCTCAAACATCAATGTTTTCTTTGGCTTCATTTTATTGGCATCACTGATACTGAAATCAACTTAGAGTCTCCCTTATTCTATTGTAGCCCCCAAACCGGAGTACAGATAGGACTATGACCTTTTAGGTTTCAGTACAGGCCATTCATTCATTGTAAAAAAAAAAAAAAAAAAAAAGATTTATGAGTGTCCTGAAGATAAAGCTGAAAATGATCAGATTCTGATCACCAGATGACTTCTCTCCACCTCTGTAAGAAGTGTCTAAAAGCAGCAATTTACTTATAAAGACAGTGGTGAGCAATCATGGCCTGTTCACGGATTGTTCTTTTGAATCATTCTGTATGACCCAAGATCACAGTTCTAGAATGGGACAGTTATGGCCAGGTAGTGCATATTGAAAATGGAAATCTACCAAATGGGGTAACAGAATAAAATAAGACAAGGGATATATATTTTATAAAACAAATTATTTCTTCTTTTGACATAGTAAATGGGACCACAGTCATCTGGAGACTTCGTAAAAGCAGAAATGGGCTCCACTTTGCTTTATACAGTTGGTGCTTTCAACCAGGCATATTACCCGTTAACCCAAAAACATCTTTACCCATATTAGACCCCTGTTATTATCTCGTTCTACAATGGTTTATAGAAATATCCCTACTTTATTTGTTCTGTGAAATAGTGAGTCTTTGCCTTAAGAGAGTCATTTCAGTGTTTCTCTCTTTGTGGTCTATCTTACAGGGATATAAGTTGCCTGAACAGTAGAACAGACATTAAATTGGCAAGCATCCCTATGTACCAACGCTTTACCAGATGTTTTGAAATTAACATGTAAAATCCGATGGTAGACTGAAACATGTAAACAAGCATTCCACAAATCACTTCTTTGTGTGTGCAAAAGTTGTTCTGCTGTAAAGGTAGACTGATATGCCCCAATATTTGATCACTGCTGTTTTCATAAACATGGTCATTTTTGTAGGTTATGTGGGTCTGACTCTAACTCTGATTCCCATGATGCAACCAACGCATTTGCTATGTTTTTTTTGTTTGTTTTTTTATCTACTCTGGGATTGGGGTCTTTGGATGATGACCAGGTTGTTGTATTTTTTACTTATTTTTTTCCTTGAATCAAACGGGAGATAAAATTATCTTCAAACTTTTTTCAACACTTTGCTAAAAGGACTTCCATTATGAAGGCATAGTTGTTCCCAGTAGTCCCGTCGCAGTCTGCCGGACAGTGGGACCTACTGACAGACGGCTGGCTGGCTGGTTGAGGCGCACCAGGCTGCTGTTCACAGATTGCAGGCCGATTAAGCCTCGGCCTGATTATGCTGCAGCCATTCATTTCCCGGCTGTAGCCTGTCACATGATTGATTTGTCCATTTAACCTCTAGAACAGTCAGCGTGCCAGGTGATGGGCCATGTCAGATGAACAAGGGCTCTGCACCCTGCACCACCACAGGGAGCAGCGGCAGAAAATAAAACCACAGACAAACTGGAGAGTTTAATGATGGCCAAGTGGATGCTAAACCTAAACATATATCTGATGCATTTAGTATATATTGATGATCTCGTTTTAAAAATGACAGTGCTTCAATATCTCTGTGCTATCTGGTTGTCATGAATGGAAATGAGGTTAAGAGGTCGCTGGTGGAAAAGTTAAACACTCCACTTTCTGGCTCTTACATGCTGTCAGGAATAAATGTTGAGAAAACACAGCTGCTCATTTACAGTCTTTTGAGATTCTCTGTGAGGCGTTTGTTTTAATGCTGACTAATTTGTGCAGGGTGACTCAGACGTATGATGCTGGAGCCTGTGTCTACTTCTACTTTGCCTTCAACTACAGAGGACTCAGTGATCCGGTGCACGTGTACGAGCAAGTCGAGGTGGGTTCAGCTTTGGTTTTATCACATTTTTTTCAACCCATAAGTGGATGCAAAAGTCTCAGAGTACAACTAGTGAAAACCAGAAGTAGACTGATACACTGACCAGTTGATATTAGCATTTTTTGTATCGGCATCGAGCAATACGTGCGCTTACCGATTCATTAGTGCATTCTGCAGACATACCCGAGATCATTAGACCCGCATTTGTTGCCCTTCCCTCCATTTGCTACCAACTGTCAATATTTTGATTGATTTTTAATAAATGTTTCTTTTTTGTTTAAATTGAGAGTTGTGTACAATTTGACTATCAGTGTGTTTTTTCTCATGTAGATGGAGGAAGAAAAAGCTATATCGGCTTCAGAAATGGGCAGCACATTTCAGGGATTGGTTAGATATCAAAGTAAACGACGTAAGCCTTTTAAAAATAAATAAATAAATAAAAAAAAACAGTTTCAGCTGATCTGTAGTAAAACATCTTTGTATTTTCATAAAAGGATCCGACTGGTTTAATGTGAAGCAGAGAAAAATAGAGTACAATGTTAATTTGTCATGCACAGGTTTTGCTTTGTTCCCACCCACAAGATTTAGGTTCAACAATTATTCACATCAAAGACAACATCAGTAAATAAAAATATAGTTTGAGGTGATTACATTTGTTAGAAGGGGGAAAAAAAGGAAAAGAAAATGGTAAAACCTCCATACCAGCCTTCGCTTATAAGTAAGAATAATAGTCCCCTAAATAACTGCTCGTTTGGAAGAATTTTGTTTCACCCCTTTTACCGTAACAGAATCTGTTCTTCAGCCCCATTGAAGATTTGCATCATTGCTGCTTAACCCAAGCTGAAAATCCCTAGACATTCTGTCTAAAGGGAGAAATGGGAGTGTTTGCTAGTGGTTAGAGCAGTGCATTTGTGCACTGAGAAGGTTGCAAGTACCCGGTTGCAAATACCTGCTCCCCAGGTGCCGCACAATGACAGCCCGCTGCTCCCCAAGGAAATGGATTAAATGCAGAGGAATGTGGGATGAATAAAGTTCAATTATTATTATTAGGTATGTCCATCAAAGACCAGAATTAATCAATTCCACCACATTGTCCAGGTCCTAAAGCAGCACAGAAACAGCAATAGACCCCCTTGCATCATAATACCACTACCATGTTTGACTGTCACTATGGTGACAGTTTTCTGAAACACTGTCTTGGTTCATGTAAGACGTCCAATCTACAACATCTACCTTGGCTCATTAATCCACAGACTTCTGTCCTAAAAAGCCTTGCAGATCTTAAAGACTCCTTAAAGATATATATATGTGGGCCTGGAATGTAAACTTAAGTAGCATTTTGGTAGTTTTGTTGTTGATAATGGCTTTCACTTCCCAAACCCTTAGATATGTCTTTGAAACCCTTTCCAAATTGATACATGTCAATAATTTTGCTTCTGATCTGTTATTTCTTTAGTTTTGGACATGATGTTCTGCTTCATGTTGTTTGACAGGTTTTATTTGGGTTGAACTTTAACCAAATAATGTAACAGCAACTGTTTTTTCACATAGTGCAAGGTGGTGTGCTTGGCTTTAAAGTGTCATTCTTTGAAATGGCTTCTTACTGAGGTTATTATTGACTAATAGTAGCTGTGGTGCAAATAATTGCCTCTGCTAAAATAAACACATATTTATTTTGTTTTTTTACTATCTGTAGAGAATAAACATCTTGACTAGAATATGTTGTACCTGTTGCAAGAAAGAGAAAGCTGCGATAGTTGTATGTCAGCCAGCATATCAGGTAGCATGCAGCCACTGGTTTAGGAGGACTAGCAATCTGTGTCCTAAGATCTTATCATGTCAAAGGTTCTGTTAACCTTAGGGATCAAACTCTTTCTTTACGATTTTGAGCCCAGTAATCGACCTTCTCTACAGTTAGTCTCAGAGTGAATTATTTGAATAAAATCTTAAAAACATTTTTTGTTTCTTTCAGCATGCGGCTAGAGAAGAAATCCTTGCCAATGGAGGGAGCTTGTCACATCATCATGGAGGTAAAAAACTCTGGGAATATATTCAAAATTACCTGCCATATTTTTAGAATCAGGTTCCCAAAATTAACAGAATTATGTTATGTGTTAAACCTCTTCACCCTATTAAAACATGTTAGCCTGGGATGCACAGACAGCGATGCGAGCCCCTCCATGCCTTCCAGCCATTCGGGCTGTAAATGTGCATTCGGTCCCCACTTCCCCTCACATGTCCAAACTCTGCTCCTGCAGCCCAGATGAATGACTCAGACTTTGCTGTTTGTTCACTTCAGCAACGTCCAAATGGAAGCGTGAGCACAGGAGGCCGGAGAAACAACTCCTGGGCCCCATCAGGGATAACCGAAACGGCTGCCTTATCTATATTGCCATCCGCCTCGCTGTTTTCATACATCACTTCAGGCTATTCATCACACCTGTCAAAAACAGTATGCAGTGAATCAGCTGCGATATTAAATCACAATTTTTCCCGAAGGCGGGGACAGGTTCAAAATTAAAAGATTGCTAATAAAAAGGAGGCAGTGGGTTGGGGTAAATGATGCCTCCGTTATCGTCGGCTGTACGCTGACCTCCAAACGGTGGCCCCGTCACCCCCGAGCGGCACAAGGGAGGTGACGAGCGGGGGAGAGGAGGGGATATTGATGCAGCTCCTCTGCACAAGCCGCTCACTCTGTAATTGTGATTAATACCAGCGGGGCTCACTATCAGACTGCAGACAGGCCGGTTTGTCTGCCCACAATCAGCGCTTGACAAATGGAGCCTGTTTCTCTGGGTTTCGTGTATCAAACAAAACCCAATGTAGTCAAGAATGGTGAGGTGGGAGGGCACCGGAGGAAATATACATTTCTGTGGCCCTGTGTTTACAGCAGGTCACTGTGGTGCTGAGAGGGAAGAGGAAGAATTTCTGGGCTTATAGAACCTCCTGGCGCCTCCTCTGGTTGGACGCCTCGCTCTGTTCACTTCTGTATGAAAGAAATATTTTTAAAAAATCAGAATCTGCTTTTCCAAACATGACCGGTTCAAATGCCAGAACACAGAGCTTCATGCCCTCTATAAGCAGGTACCCAGTAGTTGTAAGAAGTCTCCTAACATCAATCATCAAGAGCTTCATCAATCTACTAGCTCCTCCTCCATGCTTCTCGGGCCAATAATCCCACTTGACTGAATCTCAGGAAGGCAGTTGTGTGCTGACCCATATTTGTAAGATGGACTCAGAGAGAAGCATGCTGAGGAAGTGAGGCTCGGACAAGCTGCTCCCTTCTTCTCTGTATGAATCTGACCAATAGCAGAACCTCAGGTTGGCTTCATCTGCACCTTTCTACAGGCCCCCTTTCTTCACAGCTTCTGACTTCTCTGTATTTAATTTTGACTCTGATTGTATCTGGCGGACCAAGACAGAAGTCTCGATAAATGATAAACAGTATTTAGATATGGAAAACCACATCGAGCCGCCTTGGACTGGAATAAGACCTGCAAGTCTTGCGACGAAGGTTTGAACATTTTGCATCACTGGGTTTGCCTTTTTGATTGGCCCCTCTGCTGCCCACCTTCTTGCAGCAGGGACTGCTGAAGGCATTTGGTTGCCATGAAGTTTAACAGTAAAAAAGAGTTGGCATGCCAAAGTTTTCTGATTTCTAACTTGTAAAGAAAATAAAAAACTCATTTCACACAACTTAAAATGTTGTGTGCTTAGTGTGTCACATAAAATAAGTATAGAAACAGTAAAATTTGGAAAAGCAAAAGTCTAGTGGAAACAAACACTTTCCACGCAAATGATGATGAGATAGAGAAGTTCACTTCTAGCCCAAACTTCTCTAGTTTCACCCAGATGAGAAATATGAAATATCTCTCAGATTGGGAGGGAAAAAAAGGCATCTTTGAAATATCTACCTGCTCTGCTTTGCATGTCTCAGCTGCATAGTCCAGGTCTGGGGAGATTGATTGCAACAGAAAGCAGAAAGGAGAGAATATGACAAGATAGATGTGTAAATTATCACAGTGATGGAGGCAATGATGCAGTCCCAGAACCTTCTGTTTTCTTTCCTTCTTCCTGTGAGGAGGGAGGGACAGAGGTGGGACAAAAGGGATGGAGTTAAAAGGAGGAGGTAGTTGAAGAGGGTGTGGTATTTTCTTGGTTCTAGGGCAGCAGCTGATTGGTCCCTCTATCTCCATCTGGAGGCTTGTGTGGTGTAGGAGGTCCCCGGTGACCCCACTGTCTGCCCTGTTTTGTTAGGAGACGGGCGTTGCTGCCCTCAAAGCTGATCCCCATCTGGGTTTCCTGGCTGCTCTGTGATAACATGGGGCTGTGCTGTGTAGACGGAGGGTCCTCCCCTCCTGCTTAGCTGTCAACAGCGAGGGTCTCTGCGAAGGATGGGAAAGAAACGAGAAGTGGGGAAAGAAACATTTGTGCTGCACTGATACCATATCTAATCTCAGGTCTTGGTTTGTTCTGTGAGCAGCACCTGCTTTACTTCACAAGTCCACATTTCAGTTGGTTTTCAGAGTTTTTAATAAAGTGGGGGAAAAAAATTATTCCTGAAGTCTTTAGGGAGCTTTTTTATTTATTTATTTATTTATTTTTGCTCTGTTTTTACCATAAAACATGTTTATTTTGGTACAAATGTACTTTTTAAACATACTTTTGGTAGAAATAGAATGAAAACATCTTGATATCTAAAATTCTGACCATTTTAAAATTAGGTTTTATGATAAACCATTAATCCCACAGATTAATCATTTCTGAAGTATTTTTTCTTCTTGTCATGGAAAGATTGATCCCTTTATTGTTAAACTTTATCTTTCAACCTTTGCATGAGTTTGCAGATTTATTTACATGGATTAAAATATCTTAAAATGGCTCATCAGATTTTGTTTTTGTTATTTAGATTTGTATTTTAACTGGTGTGCCGTCTTGGCCAGGTCTCCCTCGAAAAAGAGATTTCAATCTCAAGGGACTTCCTGGTTAAATAAAGGTTAAATAAATAAGTAAAACTTTGATATTATAGATTCATTAGACACGGTTTAAGTTGAAGGTGTATGCAAGAAAATTTATAGAAAGTAGCCTTAAAATGATCTCTGACTATTTCTCTTTTTTTTTTCTTTTTTTTTACACAATTTGAGAAGTTTTGTCAAAAAAAAAAAACAGGCAAAATTTTTCTTTAGATTTGAAAAGATTGTTAAATTTAAGTTCTCAAAAGGGATCAGTGATTTTCTTTGTCAGAATGCAACTTTAGATGTCAAGGTTCATCACAACTTATATTTGAATATAGTTAATGTTTAAAATGATTAAAGCTATAGAAATGTTTCTTTATAAATACATAACGGTGCCGTCGTCTGAGGAAAGGGGCTAAAGTTAGCTGCAAAAGTTGAAAGGATTCCTGCTTGACATCATCAGAGGAGCGTGAAAAACTACATAATCAGCCTTTTTATTTTTACCCATGATTAGAACCAAATTCAGCTCAAACATTAGCAGTGGTACAGAATCCACAGTATGAGGACCAAGACTTTATATACAACAACAAGAAAAGAGCGTATAAAATAATAGTCTGGGAAGCTTCTTGTTTTTCTTCCTGATGCTAAAGACAATAAATATTTTAAGTTATTCAGCTTTATTGGCTTTACAAACACTAAGAACAAATTTGAGTTGTTGGTTCATTTCTTTAATCCACTAAAGAGTTCTCAGTCTCCCTCTATCTGCAGACCTCCTGCTAGTTGCACATCCTCCACCGGGCTCCAGCTCTGGAGAGCGTCTGTGCAAACAGCTGCTAACCTCCCAGGCAGCCTCGCCAGGTTACCGGCTGCAGCCGCTCTGCCTCCTCAGGTTTAGACTCTAAATGGAAGTGCAGGGGCGGCTTAGAGCCAAAGTCCTGCTGACAGAGGAGCGTGGAGCAGGCGTGGCGGCCTCTTGGCCGTCAGGCTAACGGTGGGGTGCGGAGCTCTGGACAGCGTGTTCTCGTAGGTCAGACCGAGGGACGCCACGGCATGCACAATGAGACCGAAAGGCCGCAGAGACTCTGCAGGGAGTCTGAATTTGACGTTGGCGGTGCTTCCAAAGAGTGAGGGAGCCGGGATCGGCTCGCCACAGCCGCCAGCCGGCCCCTCCTCTGGGAACACACAGGGCCTAATGAGTTTGATAGTCTGCTGAGCTCCATAAATCATGCCATGCAAAACATTTCTCCTCTCTGAATAAAAGCATTTATCACCCTCTGTTTATTCACTCACTCTCACAAGATTGATTGGCTCCCAGCAGCCTGCTGAGCAATCAGCCGTGCCGATTCCTCCGTTTCTCCCCCATGGTCGTCTTCCTCCACTTATTTATTTATTTATTTTTCTCTTCTGCCATTCAGTGGGAAAACTTCGGAAGGAGTGGATGAGGGAGACCGTGTCCAGCGTTGGCATGGGGATGCTCAAGTCTGTCAAGGACTATGTTGACCCAAACAACATCTTCGGCAACAGGAACCTCCTCTAAGTCCAAGTTCCCGTCCGTTATCTCACCTATTTGTTTTCTAAAAGCACCCTGTGCATTTTGGATTAACGGCTAACTAAATGTGAATTTAAAACAGCCAGAGATCTTCTCCATCAGAAAAAAAGTCTCGGTGCCATTTAATGATTCACTCTTCTCCTCTACCACACATAGCACTTAATCTGCTGAAGCAATCGTCGAAGATCATTCTCACCCAACTTCTTCTAACAAGATTCATCTGGGCGCAGCTAAACGTTGACTTATCTCACATTTTCCTGATCACCTTTGCCAACATAGAGGAAGCTGATTCATGATCCTCCTGTGTGTGTGTGTCTGTGTGTGTGTCTGTGGCACTACTTTAGTGGTAAGTTGTCGCTTTCTAAAGCTCTGTGCCTTTCTAAAGCTTTTGTCTGCCTTCCCCTCTCCTTTGTGTCCCACATATGTCCTTTCCAGCCTTCCTGTCTCTCGTCGTTCTGACCTTATGCCATATTAGACGTGTTTCAGGACTGGGTGTATTTGTGTGTGCCTCTTTTAATAAGCTTGTCCCTTCCCAAGCAGTTTGGCTCTTGTCATTTTCAAAAAGTCCCATGTTTGGTAGGATCGCTGAGGGGAAATAAGCTCAACTGTTGCGCATTTAGTTTTTCTACTGAAAGCTTTTACACTGAGTGGTTTGTTACTGAACAAGAGAAGTGGAAAATGTAAGCCATTTTGAATATGTTTCTGTACAAAAGTTTTCAGCTTTTTTTGGCGGGGTGGCGGCTGTAAATCCCGGTCCTTAGTCGAACCAAAGACTTTAATCATGAGGCAGTGCAAGTCAGAAGTTTACACTCATTATTGGCAATAATCTTTGTTTTGGCCCATAAATGTAATAATTCTAGTCTGAAGTTATTAGCTGAAAGCTTTGATTCCATAAACAGGAACTCGACTGGTTATGAATCACACTATTGTTTTCCTCCAATCTGGACGTGGTCAGAATAATACATAAAATAGCCTTTCAACAGGTTTCTCCCTGGACGTTGGACATTTCCTTCCTGGCTCATTTCTGGGAACAGATTCTGCTTTTAGGTTTGGTCCGCAAATCTTTGCCTTAGTTAGGTTTAGACTTCCCAAACACTAAATTTAAACCTACTTTATTAACATTTAAACTAAATAGATCTGAGCCGAACCTCAAACCAATGGAAATTAAGAAAGAACAATGAAAAACATAATAATAATAAATGGTTTAATCCTTCTACGGACTGGAAAGTGCCCTGAAACCATCATGAACTGAACTGCTTCCTAGGTCTTTATTTTAATCTCAAATCAACGGCCTGATGTCTGGATATTTTAAACTGTAGTTTCCTGGAAGGTGATGATCCCAGAAATGCCTCAAAACTGGTATTGGAAGCTAAGTAAAAGCATATTTTTAGTTAGCTTCCCGGAATCTGACATCTGCTAAAACAAAATTAAATGTATCTGTCAAAATCAGCATGTTAAATTAACACTTCTGCATATTGTGTTAATTTAAACCAAGCTTAAAGCTGCCCCTTTAACCAAACCTGAATAATCTGCTGAGAAAAGCCTGGGGGGTCAGAGGAGACCTGCATGTCTGTGAAGCCTTCAAACTCAATAGTATACTGAACGGTAGAGGTGGAGGTGGTGGCAGCAGCATGCTGTGGGCTTCTTTTGCCATCGTATACTTTTTATTCATACAGGAAAAATATCACAGGCACATCAGAATCCCTTTAGGGTACATAACATTCACACAAAAAAAAATCTTTAGGGTTATTTAAAGCGTAAAATGCAACATTAAAACCCCAAAAGGAAAGAAATACATTTTAATAATGAGTGTAAACCTATGATTAGCTCCTCCTTCACTGTCACTGAATCACTTCATCAATTAAGCTGATTTGTTTCCTATTATGATATGCAAAGATTACCGTCCTGATTCTTCTGACTGTTACACACGCTGACACATTCAGCTCGAACCTTACATGTTTATTTAGTTTGTCCCCGATGATTCCCTCAAGTGTCGGTTTGTTTAGTGTTTCTACATCATGCTACAGCTTTTATGAACAGATTCTGTAACGTGCTACATTTTGATACTGAACTTTTACCATTCTGCTGCTCATTTTCTGGCCGATGCCTCTTTTCCAGGACTGCTTTTGTCCTACAAAAAATATTCCTGCTCCAGGTTATGGAGATGTCCACGACCTAACTTGTGTCAAAAAAAAAAAAAAAGCTTTTGATTGTCATAACTGTACCTTTTTTTTTTTTCTTTTTTTTCCACTTCTCTTTATAAATTAACATCTGAGTAAATTTTGTCAATGCTGTTTGTGCAATAAACTAATGCGAAGAAACCAGCGTCGTGTTTTGTTGTATTTTTTTATCTTGATGCATGAGGACTATCAGAGCAGCTCTGAAGTCTTGAGTTATTCTGGATGGCGTGCAGCAGAAGGTCAGCCCAAGCCTAAAAGCAGGTTGGTGTTTGTTCTGCCTCAGCACGCACCATGCAGAGCTCAAGGTAATCTGGCACACAGCAGAGTTGAACATAATCTTCCTTTTGCCTCCTGTCAGGAAAAACGCCACACAACTCACCCCCTCCCGCTCATTTGGGAGTCGTCCTCACCCACACATCCTCCCACACACAGCTGACTGACGTCACAGTCAACCAGCAACAGCACAGCTCAGCCTTGAGCGATGAAATCCACCGCAGCTTTGGCTCTACTTAGAGATTTGGTGAATGGAAGCAGGTGATACTGACAGAAGGAAAAGGACATTTACATTCAAATCTTATTTTTAATAATTACTATCCAGTCTTCTGTATGTAAAAACTGATTTAAAAATGTATTTAAGATATCCTGCATCACTAATCAGATAAAGCTGATTTTATTTTACCCCTCCTAATAGATTTGAAATATCTCTGTCTGCAGGAATCTGCAGTTTTTCCATTGATACATTTTTTTTTTTTTAAAGTGTAGATACTTCTTAGTCCACAGGAGGTCAGCATCGCTCTTGGAGATGCCTAAACTTTGAGGCAGCTGTAGGTTTTCTGCTTTTTACCCAAAATAGGAGATATTGTTGCAAATTTTATGAATTGATAAACTTGGATCATTCGCTTTAATTACCCAAATGTCCCGAGTCATCCTTAGACCTATAAATATTCTCTAAGCCAATTATTTCTACAGGCTTTCTGGATTTATTTGAATAGTGTAAGATTATCTTTTTCAGTATTTTTTGTACACAAACTAATAAATGAATGTGCAGTTAAATAAGGCATATTTTCACATTGTTTTAAGGGTTATTTTACTCTTGCCTTATTTATTGTACCTACTGCCGTTGGTATACATTTAACAAGTTGTCTCTTCTCTAATCTTCATCTGAAGTAACCAGCACCATGAAGAGACGGGGCTTGGTTCTTTGCAAATAAATCATTTCAATTGTATCACACAGATGTTGGATCGTGGAGGCATTGCTCCCATGTCTGATTGAATTCTTGAGAAAATGGTTACAAGAAAATAGTACTTTTAAGAGACAAAGGCATATTAAGACTGATCAATGGTTGTTCTGTTATGAGGGTGCTTTGGTTTCTTTTGAACAAAGGAATAAGTTCCATTTAAAGGACATGATGGCAAAAACAAGTGGCTGAAAAAAACTTAAAGTGGCTCAATCCCAGAGATGGGGGAAGGAGCTCGGGTTCGAGCTGCTGTTAATCTCTGATCAGGAAGCCACTCAGTCACCTTGCTCTGGTGGTCATCTAGTAGCAGACCTAGTAGTTGTTGAAATGTATGTGTCTCCTTCCTCTCCTCCCTTGAGATGAGCTGCAGTTTGATGAAGGTAACGAGGATTTTGGGGTTTCCCTCCTTGTCCTGTTGCCTCTGATCTGATCTCTGATTAAACCGCTACAATGGATGAATTTGAAACAGAAAGTTCAAATTTATCATCAACAGTGAAACAGCCAAAGAGCTCGTAGCTGAAAACGTGACATGTAGTTAATAAAAAGGTGATGCATCAAGTCTTTACTTTACTTTTAGATCTCACTCATATGCTCCATGCCTTGTCTGTTTTCATTGATTATTTAATCCTACAGAATCCTGTTATCACCGTACTGATGGTGGGTAAAAAGGAAACAAAGACATTGAAAAGACATTCAGAAGGTTTGATGAAGATACTGATCAGAGCAGCTTCCTTAAATGATCAGATAATCTGTCTTTGAAAACAAAAACAAAGTTTTTATCTTTCATTCTCAGGGATTTTCTTTAAAATCCATGCAATATATTTCGTCAGCTGATTAGCGAAATGTATTTTTGAGAAACTAGAGTATCTTTGTAGTTTAATTCATATGTTATACTCTCCTATTCTAATAATCGTTCACTGTAGAGATTTTGGAGAGTAAAGTAGTTATTTTCCTGAATCAGATGTGCAGACTGTTTGATGTATGACAAACAAACTTCAATGTATTTTATTATCAACTTGATAAACATTAAATTGTGAAAAACTGTCATCCTTAGGAAAAGATTGACCTTTAACCTAAATATTGAAATAAAGAAAATGCAGCATTAATTTTTTTTATTCTTTGGCCTTTTTAATCATATGTCCCCTAAATGAAATGCATTCAGGAGTCACCTGATTGGTAAATGAGAAAGAATAATACTTTTTTGAAAGGCACTTATAGATTTAGATGTATTAAAGGTGTTACTTAATTTAGGTAAATATTACTAAAAATCCTTTTAAGCTAAGGTGAAATAATTATTTAAAAAATACCACAAAACATTTAAAGTGCCTTTAGTTTTGTGCATATAGTTTTATATGCATTAAAATCCTACTTGGCAATAAAGGATTTCTGAATGTGTATGCTCCAGTGTCTGAGAAGCTAAATAAATTAGAACAAGTAGCAGATTTTTTTCTTTATTCAAACTGAACAAAAACAGAAGCACATTTGCCTTTTTCATGCCTTGGCTTTCCTCAGATTAGCCCGTCATGAATAAATCCAAAATGGGAGAGAAACACAAGAGGAAAAAAAAAAAGGAAGAGACTTTGTCCACATGTGGAAAGCTAATAGAAAAATAGAAGAGCAATATTCATATGTATTTCACGCAGCATGATGCAGGAGGATTCAAGTCATGCATGTCTGATGAGACAAGGTGCGCGCTATTCGAAAGACGAGGTATTTGTCGGCTCACTTCGTTTGCTACATCCTCAGCAAGTTGGTTTGGAGGCAAGACTGCATTAAACATGCGATTCTGTTCGGCTTCTGTTGAGCTCTTCAAATATAACACAATAGATCCATGCCTCACAATGTGCACAGTCACGTTAGAAACTCCAGCCAACAAAACTACAACACAATTCATAAGGCAGAACTAAATTCAGAAATAATGTTCATTACACCTGGAGTAACACCAAAGGGAATGCTTTGATATTACATGGGCACTTCAGTTTTAACGTGTCCGTCTCCTGCAGGGAGGAAAACTCTCATACAGATTTTAGCAGGTATGGGCTTTAAGAAAGGGTGGAAAATGGTTAAAAATTAAACCACATTGACGTTTAAAGACTAGAGACACTCTGACTGAAAGCTGTGTTTTAAGCAGGTTTGTGCTTGACTGAATCCAAAACCTCACTGACCTGATGTTGCCTACCAGTGATGATCTACATAAAAGCTTTTAGTTACGGGTTTCCTTTATAGGCAGCAGGAAATGTGAATCAATCTTGTACTGCCTAGAAATCCTTTAACTAACTCGGTTCCGCCTGTTAGAAGAAAGGAAGCAAGGGTAAAACGGAGCAAAGACTTTACTTCCCTTCAGAGAAAAATATTAGGAATCTCACGAGCATCCTTACTTGTGAAACCTGAAGGTAGGAGACAAGAAGGGAGGAGACAACAAAAGAGGGACAGACAGAGTAAGGAAAGTGATACAAAGGAGGGCAGGGAGCATACAAGGAAATAAGGAAAGGTGGAAGGGAGGTAGGATACAAAGAAGGAACAAAACAAGTATATAAGTAAGGCTGGGAAAACAGCAGTAAAATATGAAGTAGGAAAGGAAAATAAAATAAAATAAAATAGGAAGAATGCAAGGCAGGAAGAGGGAACTTGGGGAAAGATAGAAGATAGGATTACACAACATAAAGATAATAAAATGGAGAACAGGTTCTTTTTATGCTTCTCTTTCTTCCATTTTCTATATTTTCGAAATATCAGATTCGGGGCATTTATTATATTTGTAGAAAGCCTGTAAATATCTGCGTAGATTCTGACCGCACGGTTCAGATCATAGAGGTCGGAATGCACCAAGGGAAAACACCTCTAAATTTCTAGAAATTGCTGCACTTGGGCTAACCTGTACAAAGCCTTAAATGTGTTCAACTCTCAACATAAGTGAATTTTAGGAGCTCCTACACTGACACAGTCATTTTATGTGCTGTAATGAGCTAAATAATTAACCAAAAGGTTGCATTTTCTTATAGATTAACCTACAGTTGTGGTACCTGAGGACACATCAAGAGGGAAACAAAATACAAACTAAGGTTTTAAAGATTTCACCCAGAGAGGCTGCAGACCAAAGAGAAAACAATACTGTTAAACCCAGGTATCTGAAAAATGTTTTGCTGGTTTATAAGACATGCTCTTTTTTTGGGTTGCAAGAGATTTTTTATATGAAATAATGGAATTTAGGTAAAAAAAACAAAAAACAATCAGATGGAGATTAGACAATCTTGATATACACCAGATAGAGATACAAATCCTGGTTTAGGTATATTGGGATTTCCAAATTATGACTACTTTCAAAAGGCCAGAATAATGGGAATAAACAAAAAAATGTCTTTATATTCAGAAGTTTGCTTATATTTTCTTAGAATTTGAAAGGACTGAATTCAAATTGTATGACTTGGATCCTTTGCTTTGGGTATTCTCGCACTAAATAGTCATAAATTAGGCCCATTCCTCCTGCAGAACTGAAGAAACACTGTCAGGTTTGTAGACCACTTTCATCAGAGATCTTTTAACACACATTTCACTGCCTACATTTTCCTAACAGACTGAGATCAGGGCTTTGTGAAAAATACTAGAAAAAAACAGGCTTTTTTTTTTGTCCTTATTTGGGGCAACAGCCAAACACATACACAACATGATGATGCTTCCACTCTCTTCTCAGTTGGGTTAGTGTTCCCAGGCATTTAGTTTCATTAAATCACAGGTCATGTGTCCTTGAGTGCCTTTGGAAACTGGCTTATCATCTTGCTTTTTAGAGATATGGCTTCTTTCTTGCCTATTGGCCACTTAAAGCCAGCACATTTACTAAGTCTGTTGGTTTGGTCATTGGATTTGCATCCTTAAAAAATTATCTTCGGGGCATAGGACCCATCCTCTTCCTGAACAGCATCATAGCTGGATATTTCCATGCTCTTTATTTTGGCATATGATTCTTTGAACAGATGAATGTGGCACCTGAAGGCATCCTGATCCACGAATGAACCAGACTCTTCCTGATTTCCTGCTTGATTTGTTTTGATTTGTCCACAATGTCCCACTTGGAAGCAGTTGGACCATAACCTTCAGCTTGGATTGGTTTATTTTTTAGCATGAATAAGTTTTAGCACCTCTTAGGCCATGGTACATAACCAGAAAAAAAAAGGCTGATTACTCCCTCCAGTTTTGGGGTAAGTTACTTTCTCAAGCACAATAGAGTAGCTGAAGGTGATAGGCTGAGAATATGAGGATTGGTAGAGATTTGGGGCCTTGTCTGCAGTATTGAGAGAGCCAAAACACCAAAGCTTGTCTGTCTACACTCTGATGATCACCTATGGTCAAGAGAGACAACTTATGAAAGAAGGAAGGAGATCCAAGCTATAACAAACATCGTTTTTCTTTCCAAGAGATACCAGGGTAAGCCTTGGTGTACAATCAATAGTCTCAGATATCAAGATGCTTCCTATAGATGACCAATGGAAGGATATCTGCTTTTGCAGACTCTTCATTTTTGTCTTTCGTATGGGGGTAGGGTTGCTTTTAATTATTAAATAAGAGAAATTTTGCAGGAATGGGTCAAGGACTTTGCTTTTGACAAAGTCAAGGGATTTCTTGACATATGTTCATTAGAGCCATATACAGTAGAAACCAGATCATAAAGTGGCAAAGGTCTTTTGTTTTGCATGGGAAACAAAAAATGAGATGCACTGAAAAATGTCAAGCCATGGCTTTTTACATAAAATTTGGCATTTTTTTGCTCCAACTGTCAGTACTGAATCATCAGAGCTGAAGTCTAGCCCTGCAGAAATCCATGTGATATGAGAGTAACCTTCTCAAGGCACATTGTGTAGGTTTGTGTGACAAGGGAGGCCCTGTACTGTATAAAACTGGGCCAAAATATATTTCCATTTGTTAAATCTCACAATTCTTTTGCGGTAAACTAAGAAGTCAAGACATATAGCTGCAGTCATTGGTTTTACAAATTATGGCAGAAATTCAGCACGGTTCAACAGGGATTTCAATAACGTGAGACCCTCAACACAGAGGCCATGCATTTTTCAGTAGGATCTTGAAACAAGGCACAGGAAAGGAGGGAGCACATAATTCAGTTTGCATTGAAAGCCACAGGTCCTACAGCAGCACATTTCTCCACCCTTCAGAAGAAGGTCTACAACCACAATCCAATCCAATGCATACAGTTTTAACAACTCCACATCTTATTTACAAATTTACAAAAAAAATCTTTAAACTCTGGTCAAAATATTAGCAACACAGAAACCAATAGCATAAAAAAAAAAACTGAGAAAATAACCAGGCGTATTGTCTTTTTGCAAAAGGTTGAAGGAACACAGTGGTTCGAGTATCTTTCCCTCCCTTAAAAGGTGTCGCCGCTCCATTAAGCCTGCCAGGTGCGGCTCTGTCAGCCTTCATCACGTTGAATCTGAAGGTAATCTGAAAACCCCCAAGATCATACCATACTCAATAGTTCAAGCTCATCTCTAGTTGCAAAGCGAAGAGGAGCAGAGCCCAAGAACCTCTGCATGCACTGCCTCTGCTACAGGCTGCATTCTGAAGAATAAAAAGGCCAACAACGTTCAAGCTCTTCAGCAGAAGCTAACTGGCCGTCTTGGATGGTGTGCTTTCATAGTCGCCGCTGCAACACGGTGTGCTGCTGGTTTTTGCACCTGAGCAGCTTGTGCTTTCCGTGGCTTCAACACTGTGGGGGCTGGTGGGAGCGGAGTCATTCTGCCCACTTTGTCTCTTCTTGTTCAGTTCCTCCCAGTTGGCCCTGTTTGCTCGGATCATATCAACCATCGGCTGAAGTTTGGGATTCAACTTGACAAGAGTCTAAAACCAGAAAGAAAGATGCATGAAAATCTCTTAAAGAAGTTACATTATACTGTATACTAAAAAATATAAAAAAGTTTTCCCGAAGGTTTGTTCTCTAAAGAAGTAGCTAAGTAGTTAAAACTTTTCCATGGAAGCTGTTTTTACCCAGTTTCTTTCCTAAATAAATCGAGTGAAATCAGGTGTTTGAATACACCGTCAACGCACTTCTTAGAAAAATTTTTGTAGTTAATGTTTTCTCCATTTTTGGAATCCAGTGTCTGAAATGGCTTTGTTACCCTTTCCAGACAGAGAAAACTTTTTTTTTTTAACTCTTAAATTTATTGGGGCATGGCGTATTTTTTTTTTCTTTTTTTACAGATTTTAGCCTATTTCATTCTACCTGATATGTTCTATTTAAAATATTTCTTTATTCCACAGAACACACTATAATACATCAGTCAATACAGTAAAAATGATTGAATGTAGTTTGTGCAACTTCTACAGAAAACTCTAGTAAATTCAATGATTTACACTTGGACAGGTTTTTTTAGTCACCTTTTTTTTTCTAAATGATTAACATCTTTGATATT